GTTTGTTCTGGGTATAAGCTTTCGTGTGCATGCACACTTCTTCAGATTATATTACCCATGGTCTCTAAGGTGCTACTGGACAATTTTTTTTTTATTTAAATAATATGCCAGTGTAAGGTAAAGGTAAAGGGACCCCTGACCATTAGGTCCAGTCGTGGCCGACTCTGGGGTTGTGGCGCTCATCTCGCTTTATTGGCCAAGGGAGCCGGCGTACAGCTTCCGGGTCATGTGGCCAGCATGACTAAGCCGCTTCTGGCGAACCAGAGCAGCACACGAAAGCGCCGTTTACCTTCCCCTGGAGTGGTACCTATTTATCTACTTGCACTTTGATGTGCTTTCGAACTGCTAGGTTGGCAGGAGCAGGGACCGAGCAACGGGAGCTCACCCCGTCGCGGGGATTTGAACCGCCGACCTTCTAATTGGCAAGTCCTGCGCTCTGTGGCTTAACTCACAGCGCCACCTGCCAGTATACCTGGGAGTAAATCCTACTACTGGCACTTGTATGGAGTCTGAAGTTGATCATCAAAGTTGACGACTGATTTAAACAAAACATTATTGTATACATTTCTGACATTCCGTTCTAGAAGAGGCCTCTAGAGATATGTATTGCGCTTAGACTTTGCAAAAATGCGTGAAATTATTGGGAAAACTCAATTTTTGGGGGGCGAGTTAAGATTTTATCCACACAAAACAAAACTGGGTATTTGTTCCAGATTCTGTCACAGGTTTGGCCTGGCTCTACTTAAGTTAATAGAACCAGGGAGACTTGTGCCAGCAAAAGCTGGTGGCACACAGCTGTCTGCGCAATTAGTATTTGCGATGAAAGGGCAATGCCTTTGGGAAATGTCAAAGCACCCCCATTTTGCTTTTCCCATTAATCGGGTTAGAATCTCAGGCTTGACAAGCTGAAAGTGGAGTGGCTGCAATTACATTGGAGTAGCTGGATTGTGCCTTTATCTTTGCAAGTGCACGCTGCGAAGGGAGATCGAGCTGGGAATCAGACGTTTGCCAGGAAAGTAAGAGAGTTGGGCAAGATAATTAAGAGGGAGACAGTAAAGCTGCCTGATGAAAGGAACTGGAGGGTGGGGGTAGAGATCAGGAATATTTTCACTGCCCATCAATTTAAACTCATCGAATAATCAATCAATGGCCTTTTAACTAATTAAGTGATAGCATACTGGTTTTTTTTAAAAAAACATTTAGTACACCACCCAGAAGCCTATTTTAGCATTAAAAGGTATATAAATTAATGATGCTGGTGATGATTCAGGGCACAGCCATATACTGCAGATACTATAAGTCACAACTGTTGCCTGAAATAGATTGTATTTCTGTTTAGAGTTTAGTAATTCTTTTTTTAAACTACTCCGCATGTATTTAAAAAAACTTTTATAGGTGACACAGATCCAAGAAGGAAAAGGAAAGGGTATACAGGATCCCACCCACTAGCAATTCTTTCTAAATGTGCATCTATCCATAAATATTAGCATGTGCACATTTTATGTACATGTTTGCCAACTGGTGGCCTCTGTTTCAGTAATGCATCTGGTGATGTGGAAGTGTCCACCTAATCAGGCCTTGGATTGATTTGGACAGGTCCTGTGAACAGGTTCTGCTCCCAAGGTATATGGAGTAGGGGAGAGAAGGAGGGGCGAGGAGAAGGAAGGGCAATGAAGCCTGGCAGGACAGTATTTGGCAGGCCTGACATATCAGGTAAAATTGTGCTGGACGGGTTGATCATGTGGACCAAAATGCAGGAGCCAGGCCCTTGCCCCATGCAGCACTCTAGCTGAGATCTGCCCCTGTTGTTGCGAGTTCGTTGGCTGCTTTCATGCGTCACCTGCATTGCGGGCTGAGTTCCTTTTTTATTTAAATTTTCTATTTACATTTTTTTCTGTTACAAATTTGTCACATTCATACATTAACCAATACATCCATATATTAATCACTGACTTCCTTTCCCCGCCCCTTCCACAGTTCATTTTAGTTATCTATTACTGCTGCATATTCTAATTACTCCATATTTTCCCCTCTGTCTCATTATATCTCTGCTTAGTTTATACTGCTGAAGTTACTCCAACGTTCTAACCTGTTTACAATAATTCTTCAGATATTCTACTAACATTTTCCAATCTTCCTTGTAAACTCTTTCTTCCTGCTCTCTTATTCTTTTACTAGGTTTGCTAATTCTACATACTCCATCAGTTTCATCTGCCTCTCCTCGCTCATTGGTATTGTTCCCTCCCTCCATTTCTGAGCAGATAGCATTTGGGCTCCCATAATTGCATAGAGAAACAAGTTCTTTTGATCTCTGGGGACATCTGACCCTATCATTCCTAGAAGAAAGGCTTCTGGTCTTTTTACAAAAGACCTTTTATACATTTTTTTCATTTCATTATATATCACCCCCCAGAAGTCCTTAGCTAATTTACATGTCCACCATGAAGGCTGAGTTCCTGATCACTGGGCTTTGGTGGTGATTCCCTGGACGCTGAGGAGAATGGCTGCCATTTTGGGATTCTCTGAGCTATGTGTCTTTCTTTCCTCTCTTGTGCTTTCCTCTCCTGTGCTGAGTATGTATAGAAAGGACAGGGAACCTATGACCCTCCATGTGCTACTGGACTACAGCTGCCATCATCCTGACAATTGGCTATGTTGGCTGGGGCTGATAGGAGCTGGTGTCCAACCACACACGGAGGACCACACATTTCTAACATATAGGAAACTGTGGCTATTCCTCCACCTGTTGTATTAGCCTGCACCTCCCATAACTGGAGTACCAGCTTCCTTGACCCAGTTTGAATGGGTTTGGAGGAAATTCAAGTTGGCTCTCAGACTGTAATATAAAATGTCAGTCTAGGTATTCACACCTGGGTCCCACAAGGAGCTTAATGAAGGCACATCAACCAGTACTTCTGAGTCAGATCTATAAATGAAGAAGAACAATATGCTTGGTTCTATGTTGCCGTTTACAACCCTTGATGCATGTCAGCAGCAAGTACCGTCTGCTGAAAGTGCCTGGAGGCCTCAGTGAAAAGATCTGCCACAGTAGGTTGGTGTCAGGTTACAAAGTACATTTGCTACTAAGGGCTTGTACACACAAACTTTAATGTTTTCCTCCTCTACTTTTCGAAAAACAATCACGCCCCATGATGCCCAAGGGTGTCTAAATCCCCAGTCCTTATATCCCATATAAACTTTGAAATTAACTCTTTGATTCTGTAACTGGCGAGGGCCAAGTTGTCCACTCTTCTCACCCCACAGAAACCACTTCCAACAGGAAGGAAACTAAAAACAGGAGAATGAAGGCTTACGATGTGACTTATTATGCAGATGCTAACCCATGAAGAATTCCCCACACTGTCTCATGGGGCTGATGACAAGTATGTGGCATCTTTTTCTCACTCCGGCAGTGATTCATAACAGCAACTCAAGACGTGAACATTATGGAGTGGTGTGGACTAGGGCACTTTCTGTAGGACTTTCTCCACTGCCCTACCATGACCCAGAGCTCTACCTCCTCATCTTCAGAGGAAGAGGCCATGGATTCAGAGGAGGAGAATATGCCATCTGAACAAGTCTTTGAGATCCCAGCCTCCTCAGAAGTTCCAGCACCAGAAGAGCCCCTACACTGCTAGTATCTTTCTGGTCTGAAGCATTCATGATGCCATCTTCAGACTCCAATGATCCAAAGCTATGTTCTCCTGGGTGCTGAGGGGAAAATAATTTGTGTATGGAGTATCAGTGTGAGAAACACATCATTAGAGATCTGAAACCTGACATTTTTGTTTGTTAGTCTTCCATATATGTCACATCACATTCTTGTCAAGATAATACCTGCTCTAGCACTATTTCCACATCCTGGAAGAGAAAATAGAGTTTTGTGTGTCTCCCCGTGGGAAATGAAAAGCTGTGGAGAATGAAACCAGCCCAACATAGCCATTATGAGTACTCTTCCTACCACAGAACATCTTTTGTGACTGGGCTGCTGTTATGAAGTATAAAGAAGAAACTGAAGAATATGATCTATAATGGAAAATAGGGTGCTGTCCCACCAACTGCAGTCTTTTAACTTATACTGGGCAAAAGATCACAAGTCTTTTAATCAGCATATAAACAGTAGTTTCCAAGCTGGTGTTCTTGAGCCTTGGGGTTTTGGACTACAATTCCCATCATTCTTAGACCGCTTAGCCACTGCACTAGGCATTGAAAGATCTCTTGTGCTACCTGATGGGTGAGATCAGTGACCAGCTAACGCACCAGGGGGCCTTATGCATACATGGTGAGATCTAGCAGCAATCTGCAAACTCTGGTGAAGTTTCTGGGGAGGATCAGTTCCACAGAACTGTTTATGGAACAAGACTCTTGGGCCAGCAGCTGTTCTCCCTTCTCAAACAGGCCTTTCAGGAAGGTGAGGGGGGTGGTTAATGGCTGATTCTAATTCTGATTCCCTCCGCAGTGTGTAGATGACTTACTGAGAAACTCATATCCCTGTGTTGTTTGGAAGTTCATAAGTCACAAATCACCAAGCCTGGTGAGGGTATCAGTGTGTCATCTGAAGAATGTCAGAAGTGCAACTCTATTACGTTAAGGGAAAATTAACTTGCCCATTTATATTAGGCAGCTAGTTCAAAGCACAGAGGATAGAAATGTGTTCAGTGAACCACAACTTCTGAGATGCATTACATAATCCTCTATGGACCGTATATCACAATTGTAAGGAGGAGAATACTGAAAACACACAGGCAGCATGTGCAGAGGCTTAAAAAAGAAAGAAAGCAGAATGTTAATCACAAATTTGGCATGCATAGGACTCTAAATTACCTGGGTCATTATAACCTTATTTCTTCCATCCAGTATAACAAGGGACTTTTAAGTGAATGGTTTGTGATGATGATGGTGCTCTGATTATTTCTGGCAGAAAAGGAAGAAGCCTCTGATGAAGCTGCCTGTTGGTTGGGACTTTGGGACGATTGGCTTATTGAAGACTGCAGGTGCTTATGCTAAGAATAAAAGAAAAGAGCATTCCTGGCTACAGTGCAGAACCAGAGTTCCACAGATCACAACAAGACAGGTAGAGCTTTTCCATCTAGGGTGACATTTCATCAACCTTCTCAAAAATACATGGATAGGGAACCTGTGGCCCTCTGAGGTGTTGCTGGACTACAACTCCCATCATCCCTGACCATTGGCTGGCATTGATGGAAAAAGGAGCCCCAATCGCACCTTCAAAGCCACAAAGTTCCTGCATTAATGCTTCTATAAAGGTAAAGGTAAGGGGACCCCTGACCATTAGGTCCCGTCGTGGCCAACTCTGGGGTTGCGGCGCTCATCTCGCTTTGTTGGCCAAGGGAGCCGGCATACAGCTTTTGGGTCATGTGGCCAGCATGACTAAGCCGCTTCTGGTGAACCAGAGCAGCGCACGGAAACACCGTTTACCTTCCCGCTAGAGTGGTACCTAGTTATCTACTTGCACTTTGACATGCTTTCAAACTGCTAGGTTGGCAGGAGCAGGGACCGAGCAACGGGAGCTCACCCCGTCGCGGGGATTCGAACCGCCGACCTTCTGATTGGCAAGCCCTAGGCTCTGTGGTTTAACCCACAGTGCCACCCATGTCCCAATGCTTCTATAGAGCACTTCAAATCCAGCCATGTATGGCATTTTGTTTTGTTTTGTTTTTTGCAGCTGGCAAGCCCTGCTGTAATTTCAGAGACGTTATTATTACGGGCTACAGTGTAATGGAATGTTTCGGGGATTTTGTTCCATGGTAGTTTGCAGAGAATTCGATTGTGTGCCGTCATTAGACGTGCAGCGCAAAGGTGGGGAAACTCCTTGCAAAGGACCCAAGGCACAGGCGTGCTCTGCATAAATGTGTGTTGCTTTCTTACTTTATATCCGATGATTGATAAGGCGAATCGCAACACCGCCTTTGTGTTTGCGTACCACGCCTATTCCATACACCTCCAGCCAGCTCATGAACAACTGATTCACAAATTATAGTCCCTCGCTGGCACTCTGCCACGGCAATAGTATAGAAACAATTTATTGCTGTGTCTTTTCCAATCTTGTAACAAAACCAGGCATAGCAAGGAGCTTGTCCAACTCATGTTGAAAGTAATTGGGCCTTTGCCACTGATTTTGTTTAACCAGAGCAAGGTGGGAAACGGCGCTGATCTTATTTAGTTTGCCTCCTCCTGGCGAAATATTTTGTGTGGGTGGGTGTTGCATCATGTCATCTTATTGTGCACTTTCTATCACCTGCTGGCTGCTGTGATAGTCATAATTCCTAATGCTGTACAGCTGGCAAAGAGAGAAAAAGCAAGCTGGTCATCGTAAAGTCACATTTGCTTGTCATAGGTGGGAAATATATATCTTCTGCCCTGTTAGATGGATTTAAAAGGGTAAGTTACGCAGATGGAACAGCATCATATTAAATTACATATTCTACGGGTTAAATGGAACTGTACTAAATTGCATAATATTATATGGGTTTAACTGAAGTGTATTAAATTACATAACATTATGGACTTAGCTATACAGCTGCAAATACAGTGGTACCTCTAGTTACGAACTTAATTTGTTCCGGAGGTCCGTTCTTAACCTGAAACTGTTCTTAACTAGAGGCGTGCTTTCATTAATGGGGCCTCTTGTTGCCGCTGCGCCGCTGGCACACGATATCCGTTCTCATCCTGGGGCAAAGTTCTCAACTCGAGGTAACTCTTCCAAGTTAGCAGAGTTTGTAACCTGAAGCGTTTGTAACCTGAGGCGTTTGTAACTTGAGGTACCACTGTATAACGTTTTAAGTGTGTTTTAAGTGCATTATACAAATGTGACACTAGATGGCTATGGTGAGCTTATGGCAAATTCAATATATTTTTCAAAAGATTTTTTTTTTTTTAATGTGTCCAGAATCCAGCTATGAATGGTGATGTTTTCTTACTAGTGAGCTGCCGAAGCTTCCTCAGGCTGTTATAGGGGTTGTTTTGTTTTAAATGGTACAATGTATTTATATTATTGTTTTTAAAATTATTGTTTCTTGGAAACCATCAGGGAACAAGCCGCTAACAAGTCTAATAAATAATAATAGTAAGTGTTACCAGCGGGAAGGTAAACGGCGTTTTTGTGCACTGCTCTGGTTTACCAGAAGCGGCTTAGTCATGCTGGCCACATGACCCGGAAGCTGTACGCCGGCTCCCTCGGCCAATAAAGTGAGAAGAGCGCCGTAACCCCAGAGTCTGGCACAACTGGACCTAATGGTCAGGGGTCCCTTTACCTTTTAACCACAAAATGGAAGTGGGGTGGGGTGGGGTGGGAAGAAACAGCTCCATCATCTGTGCTGCCTGGTGTGTGTCCTGTAAGGCTTAGGCGGTAGCTCATCCCACTGGCGCAGACTCCCTCCCTCCCTGACCTCCGTAGGATTGCTCTCCCTGAAATCTGCACAGACTGAATCCTTTTATTATTCAGAGAAAGGCTGCAGAAATCTTCTCTCTCTGCCAGCGCACTGCCCAGATGTGAAATAAATATTTGCAGCTTCTTGACATTTGCCCAAATTCCATTTTACCATTCAAATTCTTAATGACAGGTTTGTAAGTGCAATTTGCATTATGAATGTGACATTTTGTTTCTAACTCCCCGCACTTTCTAGATTAGGGGGCCTGTCATTTTTTAAAAAGAAAAATAGAAATTAGCTGGTGTCGAATATGAAATAAGCTGTCAAATACTAAATAGTTGTAGGGGTGGGTACCAGCCATAAAATTTGGGAAGCAGCCCGATCTGTTTCAGAGCCACTCATATCTTTCCATCTCAGCTTGTTATTTGGGACTGAATTAGAACAGATAAAAACGAAACTCCCCCAACCCTTTCACTATACCAGGGAACCTAAAAATGATAACAGTTCCGCCCGCTCTTTGTAGAAGCATACATTTGCAAGCATTGGAGCCCCTCCCAAACTGAGTAAGCCTGTCTGATTTTAGGCAGATACATTCAGGGGTTTTCATACATGCCCTCATTAAAGTTTGGGGTTTTTAAAAAACTATTTTATTTTCTGCAAGATTTGGATATAATTTGTAGGCATACTCATTCTTTATGAGGAGGCAAAGCCTGCCAGATTTTTTTAAAGGCAGTGTAGTAATAGGTAATGAGAGATTCTACCCTTTAGCTTGTTATTGGGATTACTTTCATTTTCCTACCCAGTTGTGTGTTAACCTGTTTCTTGGCCTGACATGGGACTCAGCTACATTGGCAAAGAAAAAGCGCTTTATATGCATTGTATATGCATTATAACACTGTGGCAGCAGATGGCGCTGTGGAGTTCCGTTTTTGCCAACACATGTTTTGATGTGTATAGAATAGATCTAGCCATAGCTGTCAACTTTCAGATTTGAAAATAAGCGATCAGCAGCCTTGAAAATCAGGGATCAGCAGCCTCACCTGTCCTGGGGACAGTCTACGGGATATCTAACAATCCTGGATAGCAGCGGGAAGCAGCGGGAAACGGCGCTGGAATAAGGGAATTTCCCGCAAAAAAGGGAAGGTTGACAGCTATGGATCCAGCCTTGGTTGTGAAACTGGATATCCACTGTTAAGTTCTTATTTAATATAAGGTAGCAGTACAATTAGTTAACTATCTAATTAATTCATAAACATGTCATTAAAAAATCAGAGCGGTTTATTACAATCATACATAGAACCATACAGTAAAAAAATAAAAATACGGTAAATCAGAGATCAATTAACTATTACAGAAGGATGTTTTCTCATTTGCCAGCATAAGCTTGGCAGTATAGGAAAGTTTCCAGCCTGGCACTTAAAGGTTAAACAGTTAATAAAACTGTCCTAACCGTTTGCTGTAAGATATTCCTGGGTTGAATTAGTTTCAAGCACTATAACAATACCAAGCATTATTGTTGTTCATTGCTTTAATAATAATAATATATTTTTGGTACCACTGCCGAGTGGCTTCCAAGAGAATATAAAGTAAGTATTCTGTCAATAGATTTGTTCATACCTTGATTTTTATGTTACTGGCTCTGATATCAGGCAGACTAGAAATTCGGGTGAATTAACTGAAATGTAACAAATCGGGCAAATGTGGAGTGTGACCCGTTCTCTGTCACTTTTTGGAGGTTTGAGTTCTGTTCTTAACCAACTGCATTGCCTCTTCCGGCTCTTTCAATCTGACTCATTTAGAAGTTTGCTCATTTTGTCAGTTTCTGCCATTTGATGTAGAGAGCAGAGCTGCAATCTTTCAGTTGGTTAGTTACACCCACTTGAAGCACATTGATTTTTTAGCTTCAGGTCAAGTGGCAAGGTGGCAAACGACAGCTGGGTGCTGCTGCTCATGCAGATGCTCCTCTGAAACAAAAGGCATATCTGCTGCACACATAAATGATTTGTAGGATTGCAGGAAAAAGGGTTGATCGGGAGTTTCATAATGTCAGTTTGCATTTCTTAGTTCAAAAGGTGAATCTGTTGTGTAGAGATCTTTCCTATTCTGATTAATACAGAAGGATTCAGGAAGCTACTGGAAGGTTTCTTCTCTGTGTGAAAAACGGTTCTTGTTTGGGTTATATCCAGTACTTTTTTTCTTTAAAAAACTGTTTAGGGGTACTCTCATTTTGACTCAAGAAAATCACCATTTTATAGTTCAGATTGGGAAAAATAAATACAGTAAATGGACAAAAGTACAAAGATTCACAAAATGTTTAGGGGTATGCGTACCCCTGTGTACACCCAGAAAAAACCCACTGGTTATATCTTCTGAGAAGCTGAGTACAGCTGGTTTAAACTGGTTCTGTTATCTTTCTGTCAAGGCCATACTGACTATAATAGTCAGGCCAGAAGGAGCCTAGGTCTCACTCTCTCTTTCTTTCTCTCTTTTGTTCTGGTGTTCTGTACATAGTATGCTTAGTGTTAAGGCTTAGTCTTATTATAAGTAATTGTAAGTTTGTTCGTCTGCTGCAACTGGATTTTCTTATGGACAGTGCCAATTCTGAATGTATAGGATTTGTGACCATTATGCTCATTTGCCTTCACTAGCAGTAAAGCTCTGCTGGGTGAAATATTGCCTCTGGTCTATTATTTTGGGAATCCTGCAGTGTGTTTAAGTTTTTCCTTCCCACGTATGACACATAATCCTATTAATTCCCATACTAATAAACGGAGCTTGCATTGCGCAACCTTGACCACAGTTGCCCATGCACTGGAACCTCAATATGTTACTGCTATGTACTCTATGGGGGACTACCCTTCAGGCTGGTCTGAAGGCAGCAGGTAGTGGTGGCTAGGTCGCTTGTGGGGCAAACTACCAGCCAGTGCCGGATTTATATATAGGCCAAGTAGGCTGAAGCCTAGGGCCTCTAAATCGAGGGGGCCTCGCCAGCCCTCCCACTCCCCAGTGGGCAGTCTCCCCTCTTCCAAAATTGCAAACCCAAGACTTCATGTGAGGGCAGGGCTACTCGGGCCTCTAAATCTAGGGGGCCTCACCAGCCTGCCCTCTCCCCAGTGCCGCTGTCTCTCCTCTCCCAAAATTGCAAACCCAATACTTCATGTGAGGGCAGGACAACTTGGACCGCTAAGCACTCGTCAGGAGAGCTATGAGATTCAGGTGAGGGTCAGATGCCTTGTCAACCCCAGCAGGTATATAACAGGAAGAGTGCCCAGGTCTCAAAATGTTTACAAAGTTCAGTTATTGCAAAAGTTTTTCAGTGTTAATTTTATGTATTTTTTTAAAATGAGGGCTGGGATATCAGCAGGTGCTAGAGAATGAGTGAAAATATTATTGTTTGACTTTAAGGTAGGGTTATCAGACGTCCCTGGTCCCCAGGGACAGTCCTCAGATTTGCAAAATCTGTCCCCAGACAAATTCCGTCCACGGAATGTCCCCAGATTTGCAAATCTGTGCCCGGGAAACGTGGCAGCGGAAGCCTCAGCAGCCCAGAGCCAGCCTGGTAGCGCAGCTGGCTCTGGCTGGCTTCAGGAGCTGCTCACTGCCATGGCACCCACCATTTTTCCTGCGCCATGACTGCGAGCAGCTCCTGAAGCCAGCCAGAGCCAACTGCACTACCAGGCTGGCCCCTCCTGGGCAACGGCCATCCACCCATGACTCCTGAGCCTCCCCTGATCTGTCCAAACCAAGGGGGAAGGAGATTAGGGAAGGCTCAGGAGTCATGGGCAGGCGGCGCACTGTTGCCCAGTTTTTAAAAAAACCTCTGTGCATTTATGTTTCACAGGGTGCGAAAGAAGGGCTTTGCACTTTAGTCAATATGCATGTGTGCTTGGGCCCAGGATCTTTTGCCTCACCATCCCCACTACTGACTCCCTGTTGCTACTGAGCTTCAAAAAAAAGTGTCCCCAGATTCATTGAAAAAAATCTGGTAACCATACTTTAAGGGGGGCAGGGAAATGAGGAATGGGGAAATACCGAGTACAGTATTTATTTGAAAGGGCAACTTTTTCATCAGCGCTATACTTATGGTAGACCGTGCTCAATTTAGCTCTGGGACTTGCCTGCACTCTTCCCCCTACGGTTTTAATAAGCAGCTCTTCTTCTACCAGACATTCCACTAGGACATGGGTAACAGGAATGCCAAAGAGAACTGGAAACATTAAACTATTTTCAAAGCAGTTAGGTAACTGTTATCTAATTGTATTTCTACAAAACTTATATATGCCTCCTGCCCTCTGAATTGGAGCACAGAGGTGGGGGAGGCTGGGGGATAGCAGGAAGAATGAAATAATGCCAATTACTTATATGAAAAGGCTGGTCAAATATGCTGTGGCACATTTCATAGGTGTTGGCTTTCTGATGTTTCTGAGTGTCTTTCAAGGGTACACACCAAGGGTATGCACAACTCCTGCCTATCTTCCGGAAATGTCACACTGATCAATCTGCTAACATTTGCAAAGCTTGCTGAAGCTGCAAGAGCTTCCCAGAACCGCTGTCATTATCACTACAGTGGCTACTTTGGCTAAAGGGCTCCTGCTGCTTTTTTAATGGTGCTGCAGAGCGCAGAAATCACATGACAAAGAATGGTCACCTGTCACATCATAGCAGCAGGGGTTGCTCAATGCTCTGTCACCTTCAACAATAGGTTTTCGGCTGCTGCACCTTGTGATGGATTTTGCAAAATGGGAATTATTTGCACAGGTGATTGAAAATGGCGCTTCTGGTGCTGGTGGGTATTTGAGGGGTGTGAATTTGCAGCTGGTTAATCAGGGCCAACCCAATTGTTAGGTGCAGTGAGGTGGCAGCCTTGGGCAATAGATGCAAAGGGATGGGGAGAGCTGGGGAGCCTTCGATCATCATCTGAGATCCTTTGTGTGACTTCCCCAGGAGAAGTCCGGAGGGTGGCAACATGGAACGGGCCTTTTCTGTGGTGGCTCCCCATCTGTGGAATTTTCTCTCCAGGGAGGCTCACCTGGTGCCTTCATTTAGGTGTCAGGTGAAAAAAGTTCTCTGTAACTAGTACATTTCCAAGCACAGTTCAAAGTGTTGGTGCTGACCTTTAAAGCCCTAAATGGCCTCGGTCCAGTATACCTGAAGGAGCATCTCCACCCCCATCATTCAGCCCGGACACTGAGGTCCAGCGCCGAGGGCCTTCTAGCAGTTCCCTCATTGTGAGAAGTGAGGGAACCAGGCAGAGGGCCTTCTTGGTAGTGGTGCCCACCCTGTGGAACACCCTCCCACCAGATGTCAAGGAAATACAATCTTTAGAAGACATCTGAAGGAAGCCCTGTATTGGACGTTTTTAATGTTTGAAGTTTTATTCTGTTTCTGTTTATGCCAGAAGCCTCTCAGAGAGGCTGGGGCAGCCCAGTCAGATGGACGGGGTACAAATAAATTAGTATTATGAGTATGAGTATCATTTGGCTGATTAACATTCTATGGCCTTTGAAATGTATTTTGAAGCATGTTATTTGATTTTTTTATGTTTTGTTGTGTATTTTGTGCTTATTTTGCATTTCTGTGTTGCGAACTGCCCTGTGATCTTTGGATGAAGTGTGGTATATAAATTAAATATATATTAATAACCATCTTCTGTAATAAATTAACAATGACTTCTGTTTGTTTGCTTGGAAGATTTAATACTGATTTTAAAGTTGTCGCTTATAAACAGTTGCACACCAGCCCTCTAGGAAGGCTGCACAGTGCATCTGTGTAGGAACAGCTAATTGCAGCGTAAATGGATTTGGAGAAAAGATCTCTCCTGAGAATGAAATGTTTTGTATGGGAGATTTTTCTTGAAACCTTCCTACATTCCCTCTGTGTATATGATACATATAATATTTAGTGGAAAAACCCTCTCTGGGGAATTCTTGCTGCCTTTCAAGCAGCTTGCTTAAGATGTGTAGCAGCAGACTGTTGGTAGCATTATAGCCTGGAAATAATGATGCACTTAGCCTCTTTGCAGGTTGATCTCATGGTGTTGCAGCACAGGTTTAAGCAACAGCAACTAAATGTCTCTTGCAAGTGGCATAGTCTCATAGTGTTGCTGCTACCCCACCAAAATCACCTCACGCCTACATTGCTCCAACTGGGGCAGCTTGTTACAACTCCCATCATCCCTCACCTTTGGCCGTACTGCAGGGGATGATGGGAGTACGGGCCCAATGAAGTCTGGAGGGCCACAATTTCCCCACACTTGGTCTACTGTCAACACAACGTTTGACCAACAAAGGGATGCTTTCCACAGACTTTTGTCCGGTCTCACACATTGCGCCAGGTGAATGTCCTTTCTTTCATACCTGTCCCCTGAGCAAACCAAAGTGAAACCACACTAGAGCAAAAGTGACTTATTGACAAACCCTGAGAGTGTGGTGAATCTTCCCATTTTGCAGTTCAAACTAGGAACAGTTTGATTCAATGATCTTGTCCATTGCCTCAGGCAGCTAAATGTCTAGGGCTGGCCCTGACCATTGATTTTCAAACCGTCTTGGGGAGTTTATCAAATGAATAATGCTGGACAGGCTGCTGCCCTGGCAGACTGCTTTGCCCAACACGACTGACTTTCCCCCGTGATGTGCAGTGTACAGGGGAACGATGAGTGCGATGCATCTAGGAGGTGCACATCCAGTTCACAGTGAGCCAAGTGAGGCTCACCACTGCCCTGTGTCTCAGAATCCTTTGGAAGTTCCTGGGATAAATGACTGTGTGTCAGCCATCAAGTGCTAAATGTCAGATCTCAAACCCTGTTGGATAGAGAAATATCAAAGGGTGCTAAATACAGCTGTCATATATTTGGCAGACATTCAAATATTCAGAAAGAACACTGAGAGGAATTTTGAGGAGCAGATTTGTTCTGCTTTGAATGAGTTTTCCCTCAGCACTGGTACAGTAAGAGGACTGTATACAGTGGTATCTCGGGTTACAGATGCTTCGGGTTACAGACGCTTCAGGTTACAGACTCTGCTAACCCAGAAATAGTACCTCGGGTTTAGAACTTTGCTTCAGGATGAGAACAGAAATCGTGCTCCGGCAGCATGGCTGCAGCAGGAGGCAACATTAGCTAAAGTGGTACCTCAGGTTAAGAACAGTTTCAGGTTAAGAACGGATCTCCGGAACGAATTAAGTACTTAACCCGAGGTACCACTGTATGTTGTTCTGTGATAATATTTCATGAGCGCAGGAATTGCCATGGTGTGCAGGATTCAGCACCCTGAGACTCACTGGTTTTCCTTGCCTTGCCTTGCCTTAAGTATCTAGTCATTTAATGGTGAAGTGACAATGAACGTTTGGCTGTTTCCAGAGTTAGTTGATGTGGGGTGGGTGATTATATCCAGTTGCTGATCTTTTCAAGACTGTTTGGCTACTTCCAGGTATGCACTTTCAGCTTTTTCTGGTGAAGAATTTAATTACCTTGGTTGTGTACAACTTGGACTTTTAACAAATAATGAAATAAAGAACAGTAAGGTGGTTGGTTCTTCAGTACCAGCTCAGCCTTGAGCTCCACTCCAGATTGTAGGTTTTGTTGCTGTTAATGCAAGTAGGAGACAGGAGTGGACTGTTATCTTAACATGTTTAGGGAAGCTTTTAATATTTGATGAATTATTGTATTTTAATATTTTGCTGGAAGCTGCCTAGAGTGGCTGAGGAAACCCAGCCAGATGGGCGGGGTATAAATAAAATTATTATTATTATTATTATTATTATTATTATTATTATCATCATCATTATTATTATTTGAGGGTTGGGTTGGGAGATACTACACAATGTGGTTGGCAGGTGAGAAAATTAAATGGGAGAAAAAACGAGTTAACATAAGAAGACAAAATATGAAGGGGGAAGAGTAAAGAGTGCACAAAGAAAGAGGGCTGACCTGAAGTGAGCAAGAAAAGATCAAAAGTAAATAAAGCAGTTCTGATTTCTTTTAAAGATGCTATTTGCACTGAGCTGTACAGCTGCTATTTTGAGGACTAGACGCAGACATCTCAGTGTTTCATGCTGAGAGAAAGTTTTAGCTAATGGAGGTTGTTCTTTTTAAGGGTGTTTTCAGGCAAATGATTAAATGCCTTCATTGCATGTGATCTGCCTAATATGAAGAATCAGGACAGCCCCTGGCAACACGTTCTGAACTCTGGAAAAGCTAAAACAGGCATGGGAGAGAGAGAGAGAGAGAGAGAGAGATTCCTCATTTAAAAAAAATTTGGTGATGATTATGATGGAGAATATCACAGTACCCTTTAAGTCTTCCCTGTTTCGCACAAGTGCTGTTGTCAGCAACTTGGTAGAAAATACCAGCTCAGCAGCATTAGATATAGGTGACTAAGAGTGCAACAGCAAGGACTTCCTGTAGGATATCTCCCCCATCCTTTTCTTAATGGCACATCCTTTTAAAAAAATTGATTTCATTTCTAGAAAGGCAGCTCCCAACATGTGGATGTAAAATAATATGCCCCGGAATGAGGCTGACACTTCTTTTGTCTGCTTATGAACTCCAATTCCTTCAAAATGATTGGTCAAAGGTAAGGGCGAACCAACATGATGCCCTGCAGATGTTGTTGGACTCCTGTGCCCATTGGTCCTGCCCAGTGGTCGTGGATGATGGGACCTGTAGTCCAAGAAGCATTAGAACACCTGACCATTAGGTCCAGTCGTGGCCGACTCTGGGGTTGCTTGCTTTATTGGCCAAGGGAGCCGGCGTACAGCTTCTGGGTCATGTGGCCAGCATGACTAAGCCGCTTCTGGCGAACCAGAGCAGCACATGGAAACACCGTTTACCTTCCCACCGGAGTGGTACCTATTTATCTACTTGCACTTTGACGTGCTTTCGAACTGCTAGGTTGGCAAGAGCAGGGACCGAGCAACAGGAGCTCACCCCATCGCGGGGATTTGAACCGCTGACCTTTTGATCGGCAAGCCCTAGGCTCTGTGGTTTAACCCACAGCGCCACCCGAGTCCCAACAGCATTAGAAGAGCACCACCCAAAAACATCAGAAGTACACCATTGGTAAAAGGGAATAACGTTGATATCATGTGAAAGGTAGACTCAGGTGAAGAGCAGAAGCAAGATGAAATTGATACAATGAAGTCAGAAAGGGAAGAGTCAGCAGTCAGCTCCGCTTTGTATACACAATCCAGGTGCGTGGAGCACACACATTATGCCTACACGTTGTCCGATTGTGACTAGATAAAGCCATGGCAGGGAAGTCACCCACTTGCAGATTGTGACCATTGTCAGGATCCATGAGGATGACCATCACAGGGGAGAGATGATGGCCCAGGAAAGGCAGATCCTAGTTTATCAGGATGACAAGACAAGGGAATTCAGCAGTTTGAAAAGGGAGCAGGGTGAGGGTTCAGGACCATGGATAGCGCTCCTGAAGCTGATATCAAACATCCAAGTTGCCCACCCACAAATGCAACCTTCCGGGCAGTTATAAAGCCAGTGCCTTCTTCTGCAGTCATTAGGTCTTTTAAGATTATGGGGTTTCCACATCTATATTTTTTCCCCTCTCAGCATTTTCTTGAGTCCTCAAGGGTCTATAGACCAACCCTCAGAGTCTAGTGGTGTGTCCTCGGAGCTAAGAGGTGGAGAGATTTGCTCCATTGCCAGAAGACTAGGTGGACCAGGGAACGAATTCTAGGATTCTTTCCTTGGACACACAAACAAATGTCACTTGGCTTGGCTGTGAAAAATATAGCCTAACAACATGCATGCATTTGGTTGTGGCTCCTTTAATTCCTTTACTGGTATAATTAGAAGTATTACGATGACCTCCTGAGCTTTCTCCCAGCGGCTGTACGAAAAGAAATCAAAATGTTTTTTAAAAAAAATAATGAAAGAAGAAAATAGGGCAGGATGTTCTTCCCGCATTCAGCAACTGAAAGTGAACCCTTCTGATGTAGCAAATTTGTCACCTATTTAATTTTAATGCAAGTCTTGATAAAGCTTAGTTAACGACATAGACCCCAGGGAGTTATTCCATTCACACTTATGCATGAAGTCATCCATGCACAAAATTGAAGTATGTGACATTTTACAGCAGGGCAAAGTTGAAGTTCCTATTGCCCATTGATGCATCCACCTTAAACAGAATATCCTTCCTTTTAAAACCAAGTAAATGATATTATCAGAAAGAGGAGATTCCTTTGGGGACATTTATATATGTAGGATTATGATATAACTTTTTATTTATTTTTTAATGGTTTTTAGTATCTTTGGAGAAAATAAAATGGCATGTCATTTTATTCCAAAGTGGCACAAAGGAAAAGGCAGTTGCTCTCAAAAGTCAAGTCTTCTTTCCCTCAATATATGTAAAACAATATATTCCAGATGGCCAAAGGGATGTGGCAAACTGAATTTAAGATATAATAATAATAATAATAATAATAATAATAATAATAATAATAATAGGAGAGACACTGAAATTTACAGATTTCCCCATCACTAGGAACTGGATGCATTGAAGGAAGAAATCTATGCTCTTAAATCTTAGTTGTCTGGCTATGTCCTTGAGGTTTCCGATAATAAGCTTAGAATAACAAGGGTTCCTCTACTACATATAATATGTCAGAAACCTCTTTCATGATGTGGGCTCCAGCCCTGTGGAGGAAAGAGAAATAACTTCCGTTGTGTGTGGAAAGTTAGCAGAATGTTTCAAAGCAAGCCATTATTCCTCATAAAATATGCTTTTATTTCTCCAGCTCAGGCACTTTGGAAGAGCAAAAGCAGTAGATCATGACTGTTAAACTAGCTATACAACTCCTTTCCTTCAAGGCAGCATGGAGCTGGCATAATCAGGTCCTATTTGATAAATGGGATAGGCTAGCAGCGCCGCAGGCGGAATGACGTGGCCCAAGCAGTAAGAGGAGTGGGAAATGGGAGTAAACACAAGCAATAAGGTGGCTGAAATAACACACTTCCTTATATAGCTTAATACTGCGATGGGCAGGCTATCACCATACCTCTTGAGAAATGCTACAACTGCTTCCATGTTCTCTGTATAAAGGTAAAGGGACCCCTGACCATTAGGTTCAGTTGTGACCGACTCTGGGGTTGCGGTGCTCATCTCGCTTTATTGGCCGAGGGAGCCGGCATACAGCTTCCGGGACATGTGGCCAGCATGACTAAGCCGCTTCTGGCGAACCAGAGCAGCACACAGAAACGCCGTTTACCTTCCCGCCGGAGCAGTACCTATTTATCTAATGGCACTTTGACGTGCTTTCGAACTGCTAGGTTGGCAGGAGCAGGGACCGAGCAACGGGAGCTCACCCCGTCGGAGGGATTCAAACCACTGACCTTCTGATCAGCAAGTCCTAGGCTCTGTGGTTTAACCCACAGCGCCACCAGTGTCCCTATGTTCTCTGTATAGACTGGGGTAAAAGTGCGCTTTTACATGCCGTCTTCTTAACAACAAGCTACATTTCCCATGAATAACCACTGGTGTAGTTCCTTTAACTTGTTCTGCTACCTGAGCGTGTATTTTATTTCTCAATATCATATAGCAGTCACTAGTTAATGCCAGGAAACCTTCTCCAGCCAAGTTCTACAGGAGATGCATGGTTTGGAGAAGGCATCCTACAGTTGCCTAGCAACCCAAGCTCATCTTCCCTCCCCTGTCCCCTAAATTCAATAAAATGATCACCCCAGCAGGGATTAATCTGCCACCTTAGCACAACAATAGGCAGCAAAAGAATGCACAGCCATTGTTCATTTGTTGCAAGTGTTCCTTTTGCACGTGGAAGGAACAGACGGACGCAAGCACTGAACTGAACTCAGCCACTGCATTTATTATTTACAGTTACAGCAAACTGAACAGGATCACTATAACAGGGGAGGGGATTTCCTGGTCCTCCCCAAGGAACCAGCTTGGCTGTCATTGCCAGAATAGTTCCTTGAAGGCTAGTTTAGAAAGGTTTTTATAAAAGGGGAAGGAGAGAGAAATGGCCGTTATGCACGTTGAGAAGAAAGTGAAGTCATTCCAAAACTCAGGGACTTTCAGTGAAGCTGAACATGGGAAGATTTGGGACAGACAACAGAAAGTGAATTCGACACCTCTAGAGTTCCTTTGAGGCCTTTCGATTCTGGGTCAGATGCTCACCAGGAGAAAACCTGCTACAAAAGTTACAGCAGGCTCAATGTAGAAAAACTTCAGTGCTGCAATGATAATCCTTCTTGATATCTTCACTTTATAGAGCTCCCACAGGGGTATTCACTCTCTGTGACTGGCTTGGTGTGATCTTCTGGGGAAAGGGTTGAACGCTGACCTCAGATCTCCCTTGCCTATGAATTACCTTGCCTTCAATGCAGAATTACACCACCTTGTCAATTTTATACTAAATCAGGTTTCAGGTTGCAGTCTATAAAATTAAAATAATATCGGAACTGCCTCACAAGGTTGTTTTTAAAGGGTTGCATGTGGTAAGAACAATAAACTCAGCTGCAGGGAGATAAAGGCCACTTCATTTTACGTCTTTAGCTTTTTCCTCTAGAGACACTTACCTGCACTGTTTCCACGATTCTGTGCTTTTAACTACCTGGATTGCATTGGTTGATCTCAGTTGTGTCAGTGCAGAAAGTTGAAAAGCGAGTGGCCCTGCCTTTCACCGCAGGGGGTTGGACTGGATGACCTTTGGATTCATTTGATCTCATTAGTCTTTTCGACTCCGAAAGAGGTCATAGATCAGTGACAGAGAATTTTCTTTAAATGAAAAACGTCCCAGGTTCACTGTCGTAAAAACAGGAAATGGAATTTGAGCATATGGAACTGGGCATAAATTAAAGGATATACAGTGGTACCTTGGGTTACAGATGCTTCAGGTTACATACGCTTCAGGCTACAGACTCCACTAACCCAGAAATAGTACCTCGGGTTAAGAACTTTGCTTCAGGATGAGAACAGAGATTGTGCTCCGGCGGTGCAACGGCAGTGGGAGGCCCCATTAGCTAAAGTGGTGCTTTGGGTTAAGAACAGTTTCAGGTTAAGAAGGGACCTCCGGAACGAATTAAGTTCTTAACCCGAGGTACCACTGTACAGTATAATAAGAAAAAAATGGACTTTTATTCCAGGATGTGAGCACAGTGGAGAGATTTTAATATGGACACGGATCGAAGAATGTATTTTTACCCAAAATGGAGGGATGGTGGTGGGAATTAAAGGAAGCAAAGTTAATTACACCCAAGGGTGCAAGCCTGGGCAGTGTGTATGGAGGTCCTGGGCTGCCCAGATGACAACCCCCCTCTCAGCCTCACTGATGTGGTCTAAAGGAAATCAGAGGGATATGTTTGGCATCAGCTTGGCTGCAGGAGCTGCAAGAAGAAGGCATACAAAGCACCACCCAACCATCTTAGGGACTCCAACCCAGATTTGTGTAGGGTTTACTCCTTAGCCTTATCTTCTCCCAAAGATATCCCACAAGGCAACGGAGGTTTAGGACAGAGTTTTCCTTCTCCTAGATGGACTATCTTCCCAGGTTGCCAAGCCCCATCTGCCCCTCACTTCCCTCTACAGCACATGCAGAAACTGCCTTCTTGACCATTGGACCCCTTATTGGTCCCATCTGCTCAACCCTCTGGAGCCTGTCTCTGCATGCAGGGAAAGTCCTTAACTCACAGAAGGAGAGCCTTTGGCTACCCTCATCACACTGGCCTGTGAGAGCTCAAGTTAGAGAACAGCCTTTACCAAAGGTGTCATGGGCTTTGAAGACACTCAAACTCAGGAGAAATGTGCTAGGAGGAAGGCACGCTTGGCAAATCGACACCGTGATCAGCTCCTGCCCGGAAACCAATGTCCCCACTGTGGAAGGACGTGTGCATCCAGAATTGGCCTCCACAGTCACTTACTGACTCATTGTTAAAACCGTGTTTACGGAAGACAATCTTACTCGGCTACGAGTGATCGCCAAAGAAGAAGAAGCCAGCCAGTCTAAGCCGTTCCCAAGGTGTGTCTGCTGTCGCATGCTGACAGCTTCTAGGAGCCACAGGTGAGAGGTGAGTGCAGGGTGGGGACCAAAGGTGGACAAACTACCCCAGAAGGAGCATAACATGTTCTCCACCAGAGGAACTACCCCATACACCCCTCAAGGCCAAGTACGCTATTGTATTCAAATTGACTTTTCGATATGTATAAGGAGAAATGAAGTATCAGGCAACAGTTGAATGTTGCAGGTCTAATTCAGCTGTGGAGATCAGGTGAAGTCAAAAGCCATGAGAGCAACTCTAAAGTGATTTATCTAGTCTCCATGACTTCTACAGGTAATCATAGTCCCATCATTCCAATATTTCTTGCTCTTGATCGTCTTCTATAATTCAGATTGTGGCTTTGAGTCCCACACAAGCAAGGATGCACTGGCAGAAGCTCAGGAGAGTTGTTTGTTCAGCATGTTATTGCCAAATTGATGAGAGGATTGGGATGGTTTTCTGCCTTGGGTATAATTCTGCATCCCTCTGCATGTCATGGCTTTGTCTTCTGTCTCTTAGCCAGCCTGTGAAACAGCTAGATTCTATGTATTCCAAAGCAGGGTGATTTATGAGTGGAAAAACCCAGCTCGCTCTTCCCCCTGCCTGGGATAACACTGATCCCCAGGTTCATAAGAATAAATGAAAGACTTGTCAGCTGGAAAAGACTTCTATCGCATGACAGGTGCTTTTATTTTAATTAACTGAAGGGGATAGTAAAATCAACAGTCACACATCAGTCTAGATCAGGCTTCTAAAACAGAATATTGCAGATGGCTTAGAATCATAGAGTTGGAAGAGACCACAAGGGCCATCGAGTCCAACCCCCTGCCAAGCAGGAAACACCATCAGAGCACTCCTGACATATGGTTGTCAAGCCTCTGCTTAAAGACCTCCAAAGAAGGAGACTCCACCACACTCCTTGGCAGCAAATTCCACTGTCGAACAGCTCTTACTGTCAGGAAGTTCTTCCTAATGTTTAGGTGGAATCTTCTTTCTTGTAGTTTGGATCCATTGCTCCGTGTCCGCTTCTCTGGAGCAGCAGAAAACAACCTTTCTCCCTCCTCTATGTGACATCCTTTTATATATTTGAACATGGCTATCATATCACCCCTTAACCTCCTCTTCTCCAGGCTAAACATGCCCAGCTCCCTTAGCCGTTCCTCATAAGGCATCGTTTCCAGGCCTTTGACCATTTTGGTTGCCCTCCTCTGGACACATTCCAGTTTGTCAATGTCCTTCTTGAACTGTGGTGCCCAGAACTGGACACAGTACTCCAGGTGAGGTCTGACCAGAGCAGAATACAGTGGCACTATTACTTCCCTTGATCTAGATGCTATACTCCTATTGGCTTCCATGGTGCTATATCTTGCAGTACAAGGGTCAATAGTTCAGGTTTTGGGAAACAGAGCAGGTTGAAGATAAGGTCCAAGGCAGGCAGGGACGGGAAACCTCTGATCCTCCAGATATTGTGGGGACTACAGCGCCTGCCATTCCTGTCCATTGGTCATTCTGGCTGGTACTGATGGGAGTTTGAGTCCAGCAAGGAGTCTAAAGCAAGGGCTTCAGAATGTAATCTCCTTCTGGATAGCACCATGAAGATAACAACAACAACAACAACAACAACAACAACAACAACAACAACAACTCTGGGCGGCTTCCAACAAAATATTAAAATACAATAGTCCTTCAAATATTAAAAGCTTCCCTAAACAGGGCTGCCTTCAGTTGCCTCCTAAAAGTCTGGTAGTTGTTTTTTCCTTTGACATCTGGTGGAAGGGTGTTCCACAGAGCGGGTGCCACTACCGAGAAGGCCCTCTGCCTGGTTCCCTGTAACTTTGCTTCTCACAGTGAGGGAACCACCAGAAGACCCTCAGAGCTGGACCCCAGTGTCCAGTCAGAATGATGGGTGTTATTTTTTGTTATCAGGACAAGCCCACACGATTGGCGCTTCCACATAATATGGGAAGCAACTATGGAAGAGGCCAAAGGACCCTGGTTTAGAAAGCATGAATGATACATCTGCTCTTGCTGTGGGACTTTCAACACTTTTGCCAGATGGCAGCATCATGTTCTGAGTCACAAGCTGATGTTTAAATTTAGTTTTACAAACCAGTTTGTGTTGCTCTGTTGGCGAATTGATATTTGGCAAGAAAAGGAGGAATCTGCTGCACGTATCGTTTTCCTGATTTTATCTGTGTTTTATTGGGAACTGTTTCATGCATGCTTGTTTTTTTAACAGTTTTGTGGGTTTTAGGATGCTGTAGGATGCACACTGCTTCGAGAGTTTTGTAATATAAGCAGTCTCTAAATCTTTCTAAAGAATATATACCCCAGAAACATTGTTACGAAACCTCATGAGACAAGGGAGTTGGGGTTGGGAGCTCAAAACCCTTCCTAGCCTTCAAAATAATTGCTCCCTCCTGGAGACTGGCACCTCCTGCCGACATTCCTTGACCTGTCCTATGCATGTTTACTCAGAAGTAAACCCTACTGTGCTCAATGGGGCTTGCCCCCTAGCAAATATGTTAAGTTAGGATTGGCACTTTAGTTTGGGGGTGGGGGCCTGGGGGCCCTTCAGGTGTAATTGGACTACAACTCCCATCTTCCTTTCCCTTTGCCATGCTGGCAGGGGTTGATAGGAGTTGGAGTCCCACAAAAATATGTTTTAGCCTTTTAACAGCAGTAGGAAATGTGTTGCACCCATGAGAACCTAAAGCCCTTACCCCAAGATTTGTTACAACTATTCCCCTCATAGCAGGGATGGTGATCCTGCAGCCCTGTGGGTGTTTTTGAGCTCCATATGAGAGGTTGGGGCATGTATTCCAAGCTCTGGAGGGCACCAGTTTTCCTACCCTCATGGGTGAGCGTTGTGTGTTCCCCCTGTGCTTGTGTTCCCCCACATTTCTCTCCAGAAGTTTGCTTGAGTGTAGCATGACTGAAATAAGAAAGGTTGCTTCTGGTTCGTTCTTAGGTCTATACGCTTGTGGGGTTTTATGTTTATTTTGGGCTCCTGCTGAACTCTCGATCTCAATCCAATGTATTCCTATGTCTATGATGATGGACCATTGCAGTGCAGGTGTTGCTGGCGGAAATTTGAGGGACCCTTGTGGCTCTAGTCCATTGGATATGATGCCTAAAGACCACTGTTTAAGCTGCCAGACAGCTGAGGTTCAATGCGTTCACAGTGGGTTCAACCATTTGAAGCTAGTCCCTAAAAACTACCCCTTTGTAGTTGTCCCCTAAAAACCACCGTGTAAGCAATTATGTTGATGTAGAGATGATCCCTGAGAACACCCAATGCATTCAGATGGAACCAGTGCATTGCAATGGCCATTGCCATTGGGTACTTCCTTCCCTAGATACTTCTCTGCAGCATTCTGCTTGCAAAATCTGCATAGCACAGGGAAACAGAAGCTTTCCCCACCTGAGCGCCACATTCCCTTCTAGGGGATTTCCTGGGGCCCCACATCCCAGTGGAGGGCAAGGAGCAGAGACATATGTGGGTAGAGCAAATGTAAGTTTTAGCTTTGTACAGTAGGCTGGTTTCTACACACATCCACAGACCCCTCTCTACTCCCCGGAAGCATTATCAAAGCATGGCCAGTGAAGGGGGTGGCCAATGAAGAGTCTCAAGGGCCAGACCGGGAGGAGCTGAGGGCCACATTTGGCCCCTCCGCCTGAACTTCCCCATCACTTACATAGTATGTGACTAAAGGTGATAGTCATAATACTTGTAGTATTGTGGCACTGGTTTATTTAAAATTGTTGTGTTAATTTAAATGACTTATTTATTTATTTTTTAAAAGTCATGTGAGAACACTGGCAAAAATAGAAACCTTTCTCTCCCAAATAATCCTTCTCTCTCTCCGCTTTCTGTCTCTCTTTCGGAACAAACCTTTTGTATACTAAAGATATTTTGATGCCACCCACAGGAAGAAGATGGTATTTTTGGTTCCTCTGCCTTTCTTCCTTGGAACAGCTGAACATCCTATTGGTGGGGAGGAAAACCTGATCTCTTCAGCAGTGCTGGATGGAGACGTAGCAGTTAAATCGAGCAAAGAGTCGAACTGGTGAGAAGCATATCAGAGTGATATATAAATAACCACAGGGTGAGATTCAAGGCTGTTTCTTCTATACATAATAATGTCTAGGCTCTGTGGCTCTGCCACCCCCATCCCCAGGCTGGTTTATGAGACAAGCAAAGACAGGAAACATGCTTTAAAAATATTCCTCTTGGAGCAGTTAAATGATGATCCTGTACTTAACATGAAGCACATTGTGTTTGTCTATAATTCCCCCCCAGTATTTTTCTGGAACAATATGCACTAGATTAGTGGTTGGTAGAAGGTAGATTTGTATTCTCTATAGTCAATTTCTGGGGTGATAGATCAGCAACAGTAATGATAGCAAAACAACTTTTCCTGTCTAAATTGGGCAGCTTAAATGAAGGAAGTTAACCAGGGACGGACTTTTATATGAAAGGACTGTGAGTTCTGATCTCACACAGAAAACAAATCTCTAGGCTCAGAATGTGCTCAGAGGTGCCCTGCTCTTTAATACTAACTGTACGACTTTTGTACCTGGCACTCATTGGTAATTCTTGGGGTTCTTGTGTAAAGACAAACAGTTTGGTCCCCCAAGCCAGAATTCAGCCCACACTCCCACCGGAGCCCCCGCCTGATGCAAGGGCATGGTGAATGTGACTAAGCAACTTCTTAGAAATACAAGATTATACAGTTTGAAAAAGGGCAAAAAACAAAGTATATAGGCATGGAAAGATAGAGGGAAGAAGTGGAGGAAGCAACACCTAACATGCTTTGGTGATATACATGTTTGATTGAGTAACCTACTCAGTTTGCAGCATGCTTAAACCTTAACCTGATATTTGCCCTTATACCTCTGGAACTGCTTCTTGTTCTTTGTCAAGGTGTGGTATGGTGGAAGTGCGGGGGGGGGGGGATGCAAATAAGGGACAGGAAGGGTGTGGGAACGAGAAACTCCTTTTACTTGACTAAGTCAGTTCCATTGGCTCAGTACTCAGTTGCTCTCCAGGGTCCTGGACTTTCAAAGGATTGACTTTGGGATCTAACCTATGCAAAGTTCAATGGCTGAGCTGTGCATTCCTCTTTTAAATAAAAGGGTAACTGTGGTGCACAGATGCTTGCAAAACCATGAGAGATAGAAATGTATTTTTTTAAAAAACAACAACTGGAAGAGCTAATCCTCACAATGCATTTGATATCCATTCAAGCTGTTTCCTGGTGAACAACTGTAACCAGGAAGTTCTGGGCAGGTAGTTCTGTGAATGCGGTGGCTATGTAAATACAGTATGCTGGCATGTCTTTGGTTCTCGCTACATACCCCAAATCACCCCATTCACAGGCTGCATTTGCTACACCCAGGAAGGCTGGGACTGCTTGAAGGGATAGCTCAGTTGGTAGAGCAAGAGATTCTAAATCTCAGTTGTGGGTTTGAGCCCCACGTTGGGCAAAAGATTCCTGCACTGCAGGGGGTTGGACTAGATGGACTTGGGGTCCCTTCCAACTCTACAATTTTAGGATTTTATGACACATATTATGTCAATATGACATTCAGAAACTCAATTCTGTGCTCTAATCACAAGAAGGAATTATGGAAGGTGAACAACCTAGGCTTATATATACAGACCAAACATTGGCTAATTGTCTTTGAGCTGCAATGATAGGATCCTAATTCCACTGAACTGGGAATAATTCCAATAGAATTCAAAAGGATTTGCTTCTGAGTAGACATGGTTAAGATTGCGCTGCAAATTAAGAAAATCTGTTCTTTCTTTCGCATTCCTTAGTCATCATATTTCATATTCCTCTGATAGGACTAGCCTAGGGCACTATGATGAAATCGATGTCCCTGGTGTTATTAACCTCTGACATCTTGTATACAAACCCCAGATGTGAAAATGAACTTTGCTGCTGAAGATCAGAAATGGTTAAAACCTTAAGCTGTTTCGCCGTAGGTGTTCTAAATAAGGAACTAGGAAGACAACACCGCCTTGTACATTGACAGTAATGGGTACAGGAAGGAGGTAAGGGCAAAACACACAGGAAACCGATGATTAGGAGGAGATGTTACAGGTAAATGTAAATCTCACTCAGAATTACAGCAGGGAATTATGTTTATTTTTTGCAGATGCTCATTGGGTCTTGTACATCTTTGAGGTTGCATGAGGGTAGTCTACTTTCAATAATCATGCCACATGCTCAATGAAAAAGCATTATTTCCATATGTGCTGCCTATCTGCACTAAGACGAATCTTTAATGTGTTTCCAGCAATAAGATAAAGTGAGATAAAATCCTGGCAGTTGTTAATACATCCTCATTAGAGAGCGAGGGCTTGCTGGCAGGGAAGGCTGGCTCTCTATTACAAGTTGTTGTTGTTGCTGGATGTCCGCCCCCCCCCTTTGCTGTGGAAACCTTCTGGTGACCAATCATCCTGTGGGCTATGGCAACCACGGGTTATTTCCTGCACTTCATGCATCTCAAAGCCCATGCTCTGCACCAGCGTGACAAGGATTTGCCAGTTTGCCAACTGCTTGAATTCACCAGGGCAAGGGGGGAAATATTCATCACGGCTTCATGCCCTCTTCCCATGAGGAACTGGCTTCCCAAGTAATATATTATTTGTGGATGTGCGTCAAAGACAGGGCTAGGTGGTATTTCTGGGCTCAGTAAACCTTTGCTGCTACAGATCTAGGGAGAGTGGCGGTTTGCCTAGGCAGGCCCAGGCAGGGCGATGCCCACCACAAGGCAGGTTGAAGCGGCACCATTAAGGGATATCAAATCATTTATTCATTGTAAATGGATGTACAAATGTACCAACATTTGTATGTTATCTTTCTGCCATCCTGAAATGTGAGGTGGCACATGTGAGGTCCCATCCATAGCTCAGTGGGAAAGCATTTTCATTTCATGCAGAAAGTTCTGGGTTCAAATCTCTAGCATCTCCCTGGCACGGCTGGGAATGTCTCCTGTTGAGAACCCTGAAGAGCACTGCCAATAGTGCAGGCAATACAGTGGTACCTTGGGTTACATATGCTTCAGGTTACATACGCTTCAGGTTACAGACTCCGCTAACCCAGAAATAGTGCTTCAGGTTAAGAACTTTGCTTCAGGATGAGAACAGAAATCGTGCTCCGCTGGTGCGGCGGCAGTGGGAGGCCCCATTAGCTAAAGTGGTGCTTCAGGTTAAGAACAGTTTCAGGTTAAGAACGGACCTCCGAACGAATTAAGTACTTAACCTGAGGTACCACTGTACTGTGCTAGATGGATCAATGTTTGGACGAGGTATAAGGCAGTTTCCTACGTTCCTAACACTGTTATGTACAAACTTGCAACACATGGAAAAAAATTGTGTATAAACATAGACTTGCCACGCACAAATTTAACGATATTTGGCCAGAGACCAAAATGGGTGACCATTCCTTTGTACGTGAGGCCACACAAAAGTCACACACACATACCTCTATCTTGACAGGCAAAAGACATGAGGGCATCCCAGCTGAGCAGAAGTGCTTGAGACAAGTGAGGGATATGGCCTGTTGAGAGTCCCAGGGGAAGGATGGAGAGGGCAGGAGAGTCAGATTCAGCTCCCGGGCCTGGGGCTCCTCAGACCTGCCTCATGTGGGATGTCAGCATCCAAAATGCACGTGCAAAGGGTTAATGGCAAGAACTGTGTGGCAGTTGTGGCAATTGGTTCAGTTATGGCAGTTAGTTAACAGTCTTAACAATTACAGCAGCAGGCATGTTGTGTTGTGGTGCTGTCTGCCTCAGAGTTAGCCAAGATGCTGCAATAGTTTGATCTATGTCAGATGTATTAGCACACTGAGCAAAAGTTATCCGTTATTTAAACTTTAAAAGAGTGTCTTGCGAAGGAGGGGGGCGGGGAAGAACTAATTAAAGGGTAAAATGACCCAAGGCTGACTTCTGCCTACTCTGCTAATGGGAACTAGAGTTTAATTCCAGCACCTCAAACCGTTCTTTGGAATGCCATAGCATGGCACGATACCCTTCACGGCGCATTAACATGCAGTAATGTTCCGAGGAGGGCACCCCTGGGGCTGGTCCCCTCATGGGATAGAAAAGTTTTATGGTAGGCCCTGCTCATAGGTTTAAGACTATTCCTTGACTCCAGGAGCTCCCACATTGTGGCATGTTGCCTCACAGCTCCTAACACTGATTCAAATGTTTGGCAAAGGTGCAGAGGATTTCAGATTTCTTCCAGGACTAGGACTGAAGCCCTTCCATAGGCAGCCTTTTTTTCTGTTGGGGGGGCATAATCCTTTGGAGGTGCTTTGCCAGAGGCCTCACAAAGGCAATGGGGCGAGCCCCTTCTTCTCTATTCTGCCACTCCCTCCCTCTTACACACACATTTCTCTCTCTCTCTCTTCCACGCTCTTCTCTCCTGCCACCTTTTTCCTTCCCCTTCCTTGCCACCCCCATGGAATCTGGCCGAGGGCCACACAAAATGAGACAGAGGGCCACGGTTGCCCACCCCCTCAGGGCTATAACCAGCCCCGAGCTAGAGGAGGGGTGAAAATAAAAGCGTCCTCATAAAAACTCTCAGTCCCATAAAACGCCAGGAGGTTTTTGGACAAACAGTACCTTTTGCACAAGGGACGCGGGTGGCGCTGTGGGTTAAACCACAGAGCCTAGGACTTGCCGATCAGATGGTCGGCGGTTTGAATCCCCGCAACGGGGTGAGCTCCCGTTGCTCGGTCCCTGCTCCTGCCCACCTAGCAGTTTGAAAGCACGACAAAGTGCAAGTAGATAAATAGGTACCGCTCCAGCGGGAAGGTAAACGGCGTTTCCGTGCGCTGCTCTGGTTCGCCAGAAGCAGCTTAGTCATGCTGGCCACATGACCCAGAAGCTGTACGCCGGCTCCCTCGGCCAATAAAGCGAGATGAGCGCCGCAGCCCCAGAGACATTTGTGACTGGACCTAATGGTCAGGGGTCCCTTTACCTTTACCTTTTGCACATCTCAGTTGGTTCAGAGCTGGCGCTGATAACACCAAGGTTGCAGGTTCGATCCCCGTTTGGGACAGCTGCCTATTGCAGGGGGTTGGGCTAGACTAGAGGATCCTCAGGGATCCAACTCTACGATTCTACCTGATCCTTCATTTGGGAAACCACAACACACATCGTCTCGTTCTCTTGAGCTCCACTTAGCTTCGCGCTGAGCACGTTAGCAATTGACACACTTGAAAGAACTTTAACTGAGCAGGCAGTATATTCTTAAGGCAAACGGCCCCCGGGGAGTTTCGGCTTGCAAAAAAGAAAAGAAAAGGTGCGGGGCGGGGGGGTGGGGAGAGAGAAAAAAACACACCGGAGAGCTTAATATAAATATAAAGGGGAGGCGCTGTGCCTGCCCGATGCCTCCAGGGGGCGCGCGCGGGGGGTTTCTCCGCCTCCTTTTCAGCCCAGGCGCCCGCGCGCGCTCCAGAAGGCGGGCGTCTCTCGCTGCGCGGAGCTGCCTCTCCGCCCGCGCCCAGCCCAGCCCAGCCCAGCCTCTCTCTCTCTCTCTCCTTTCTCCTCCTCAGTCAGAGGCGAGCGGAGCCCGAGAGCGCGGAGGGATGGAGCCCGGCTTCCTGGAGGGATGAAACTCCCGAGCGCCCCACCGGCTCCCTGAGCGCCCCGCTAGCTGCAAGCGAGGATTTGCCAAGAGCGCGGCAGGAGCCCCTCCGCCGCCGTCCTGCGAGGGAGCGAGAAAGAGCCGGTTCGCAGAGCGCTCCATTCTTCCCAGATCCCTTGCTCAGGTAAGGCGGCTTCCCCTCGGCTGCTCCGCTTTGCATCCCACCCTCCAAAAAGGCATGCTGGCTAACTTTTTCTCTCCAGTGGGGTGTCTTTCTTTCTTTCTCTCCCTCCCAGACCCGCGTTCCCACGTTACGCGGCGCTTCTCGCCGTGCGGAAGGACCCTCAGTCACGGGGGTCTCCCGGGGGAAGTTGGAGACCCCGGACTCTTGGGCAAAGAGCTGTGATTTCGAGGCCATGGGAAACAAGACGGTCCCTTTTTTTCATAGAGTTGTCCAGTGGGGAGCGACCCTGGGGGTCATCTAGTCCAACCCCCTGAAATGCAGGAATAGGCTGCTGTCCCGTACGGGGATCGAACCTGCAACCTTGGTGTTAGCAGCAGCATGCTCTCGCCAGCTGAGCTATCGGAAGCGGGTTGTGCTCTGTTCGGGTTATTGAGGGGAAATAGGGCACTGATTTGGCTCCATTCATCGGGATCCCTTTTATGTCTTTGCAAAGGGACCCCAACCCAAGTTGGCGAGAGCATGAGTCTCTCTCCCCCCCAGCACTGCCCTCACTGCATGGGCTCCCACAGCTACTGCAGACTCTTTGCCTTGCACTTATTTCCCATCTGGGTGAAGTTGAGAGAGGAAGCAGCCTTATTATCTGTAGCAGTTACTGGTATAAGAGTGTGTGTGTATATATATATATATATATATATATCGGTTATTAAGTGTAAAGAATATCTTGAATATTCTCTATAAAAAGAAAACTCCTCAATGGGCATTTTGTTTCAAAACGTTAGATAATCATCTCCTGTACTGGTCTCTCTGTTTCAAAATCCTTGCACAGCTCCGTTCTCTCTCCCGGTTACTTTGGGTATCTGTGGCAGCCCCCTAAGTTGTGGCGCTCCTTCCCCACAGAGGTGCGCCTTACACAGCTTCTGGCGAATTCTGAAAATGCACTTCTTAACCCTGGCTTTTGACACGAGGTGTAGAGTTTTAAGACCCACCTTATTTCTGCAATTGTAAATTGTTCTGAGCTGGGGTTTTTAATATTGCGTTTTAATGTTGTAACCCATGCCGGGACCTTAGGGTGAAGGGTGGTTCAGTCTTCATCATCATCATACCCATCATACCCAGTTCACCAACAACTTCTCTTTTTTGGCTCAAAGTACCCACCGATGGACGTCATATCCCTGTTGAGTTTCAGAATCTGACACCTGGCATTGAAGCCTTCCTAACTCCCTTCAGCTGTGCTGTGCTCAGCAGTGATTTCTGATCATCTGGTGATGCTTCAGACCTGAGCTGCTGTCCTGTGCTCCTTAAGCCTCAGCTTGGCAGGGCTGCTTTCTGAGTAGGCATGCCTAACACTGTACTTTCATTTTCTGATGAGAAAGCCCAGGCTGAAGCCACCGTTTACAAAAAGAATACACTGCATAACGTGTCAATAAGTATTTCCCCAGACCCAATACAACCCCAAGTGTTTACTGGCATGGATTCTATTTGAATGTCTTGTTCCCTGGGCAGTGAAGGACAATTTTTTAAGAGGCAAATGGGAGTTTGGTGCACAGGAGCAGTAACGGGAACTTGGGTGAGATCTGGGTTCAAATCTGTTGCTGCGTTGACTTCTTCCACCTTAAGTTTTACATGTGTGGTGGGTTACCAGTGTTAATAAACAATAATATTGGGGCCGGTTCACAGGTTATCTACCTAAAATACTTGCTGCGTTTGCATAATAATCACAGGACAACCCAAAAGAAGCAACGCGTGTGTGTGCGTGAAAAAAAGATATATGCAGTTGTTAGTGGTTTGGGAAAAACTTAAGGAAGGAGCATTTTGTCACAAATAGTATCGGGAACAATGGCAGTAACGGGAAGTATCATTAGAAAGTAAGAAGGAATAGCTTTTGGGAGACCTCTTTGGGAAAATACTGTGTTTTGAAAGGCGACTAACAAATCTACTAAATAAAAAGAGGACTGTAAAATTGCTCACATTTCTAAGGCACATTTACCCTCAGAGATAATTGCAACCTTGTCTTTAGTAATCGCATTTTTGTTGCTTTCAAATTGGCTTCTTTTTTGAAAACCTGGATTGGCTAGGATGTACATTTGGGTCCCCTCCCCCTTTCAACTTCTCTCCTGAATTTGTCTGTGATTGGGGAAGTGCTTCGCGCACCTTGATCCTAGGCATCTTTACTCAGAAATAAGTCCCACTGTGATCAATGGGGCTTCCTTTCAAGTAAGTAGGCATAGGATTATAACCTGAATGAAAATGCCGTAAAAGGTTCTCTCTCCTTTCCTGAAGAGGGGGAAAGGATTCCAAAGCGAATTTCAGGGTTTCACCCTTCAGCCCAATGTTTGGGGAGGGATATGGAGAATCTGAGCCCAGCTTTGCAATGGTAGAGGTACATTGGTGGCTTCTGTTTGCCTGCAGAGAAGGAGATGGCCAGTTGTCCCACCCCGGAAAAAGACCTTTGGGCTTGAGTTGGTGTCAACAAGAAAGGATGCCCATAAACAACTGTTCATGATTTTATTAAGATTCAATGTTCAGATTTCTTTTATTTTGGCTTTCTTTTCTTTTTTAAGTGGGGCGGAGCGTTGTATTTTCGAACTGAATTTGTTGCATTTTTGAAAGCTGCAAGAGCTGTTTACCAAAATCAATAAAAGATACTGCCCTATAAACAGGGGAAGGGCTTATTCAGAATACTCCTAGGGGTTTTTTTGTTTGTTTTTGGTGCCTTGGAGAGTTGCTGTGTCAGACTTAGGTGGGCCAGTAGTTGGTCTTGGTATACTGGGAAAAGACAGAGCTGTGCTTTCTTGAACATAAGTGCAATGCAGGGTAAATGGTGTTCCTTGCGTTCAGTGCTGACACCACCTATCTATGCATTTCTCCCAAGTAACTAGAACTTTCACCTCATAAGGAAACTCTGCGTCAATATATAATAAATATGCCACATTAAAGGCACCACCCACTTGACGCACAGTCCGAATGGTGAGAAGCAAAGCTTTGGGGTAGTGTAGATTAGGGCTTCCTGAACTTGGGTCTCCAGCTGTTTTTGGACTACAGTTCCCACCATCCTTGACCACTGGTCCTGCTAGCTAGGGATGATGGGACTTGTAGTCCAAAAACAGCTGGAGACCCAACTTTGGGAAACCCTGGTGTAGATGCTTTGCTTCAGGATCTGGAGAGCGGACCAGGAATTTGCCTAATGCAAAAAGCTTGCAGGAACTTGAAAGAACAACCGTTTTATGGGATGTAGCATTCTTTGGAACTTAATGCCAGGGGATGTGGTAGCAACTGTCAAGAGTTGAAACCGGTTTCAGAAACAAGGATGTTGTCCAGTTTGATATGTTTTTAGCCGTTTATGTGCCACCCATTAATGGGCGATTTATTTATTTAATCAGTAAAATACGCTTGCAATCAAACAGAAACCATCAATATGAAAAGTTAGAATTTCAGTAGAGCCCCCTACCCCAGCAGAAAACCAGCACAAGGAAGCATAAGATAAATTAGAAACAACACCAAAAGCTATCAAATAAATATGGGAAATAAAAATGTTCAAAGAAGTGAAGCGTACGGAGCCTCAATTATTAAAAAGCCTGTGCGTGTTTACTTAGGCATACACGACTATATGCATGTAAAAGGCTGGTTAATGTGGGTGTGTAAGAAAAACGGTTCCATGCATTTTTGGCAGGCAGTGTGTGGTTCAGATTCCTCAACCTACACTCGCTGTCCTTGCAGCTGGATTTATTCTTAGTAGGTCTGCATAGGATTGTATTGTAAACCAGGTCACTTCACTGAAGCATTCCTTGTTAGCATGCCAGAGTTCTGTGGGTGCCCTGCTAGCATGCAAACACTGCATGTGTACTGGCATCTGAGAATCCTGGTTTAAAAGAGATGCTGTGTGTATTGGAGATGGTGCACAGGTGTGATTTCCTTACGTGTTTGATGTTCTATTTGAATTGGACCAAAGTCCCGGGGGGCAGGGGGGCCTTGATAGGATTGTAACTTCAAGAACAGCTGTGAAAAATAGGAATATTTCCCCAATCCCCAAAGACATTTATTTAGCATATGCCCCATTCATTTTAATGAATTTTGCATCTGAATAAGAAGCTTAGAGTTGCAGCTCAAGGTTGCCATTCTAAGGCTGAAGTTCTTCAGACACTTGCTAGAGTCAAATGGATTTTGCATTGGAGTAATAAGTTTGGGAAGGGACGTGGGTTAAACCACAGAGCCTAGGACTTGCCAATCAGAAGGTCGGCGGTTCGAATCCCCGTGACAGGGTGAGCTCCCATTGCTCAGTCCCTGCTCCTGCCAACCTAGCAGTTCGAAAGCTCATCAAAGTGCAAGTAGATAAATAGGTACCGCTCCGGCAGGAAGGTAAACGGCGTTTCCGTGCGCTGCTCTGGTTCGCCAGAAGCGGCTTAGTGATGCTGGCCACATGACCCGGAAGCTGTATGCCGGCTCCCTTGGCCAATAAAGCGAGATGAGCGCCGCAACCCCAGAGTCGTCCACGACTGGACCTAATGGTCAGGGGTCCCTTTACATTTACCTTAGTAAGTTTGACCTTGCCGCTTGGGGTTCTAATATTGCAATTCTAATGACACTTACTGAACGTGAAACACTGCAATATGTGTGTGCTCAGGGGTGAGCCCCTCTAAGTTCCATTAAACTTACCCCATGGGCATTGCTAGGCACCGAAAAAGACTCGGGGAACAGAGTTAATACACAAATTTGTCTCTAGGAATATTCAGATGGCAGGTGACTGGTAGCAATCTTTGGCATCATGCTCAGCCACCTTGTAAGCAAAGTTTTTTGTTTTAGAAAAAGTTTAACAAGTAGGGTAAGAGAAGAAGGGAAAGGAGACCCAGGGTTCAGACCTGAGGTTTGGGCCCGCTCAACAACCCCACCAACTCCGCTGAACTTACTCCCAGGGTAGGATGTGTGTGTAGGATTGTGGTGCAACTCTGTTGAACGAAATAGGCTTTACTTCCACATAAGCCTGCGGCTTTCACTCTTTTGTCAGAGCTAGTTCCACTGAAATATGTGGAAGGCGATCCTATGCAGGCTCCTGTGGAAGTAAATCTTATTGCATGCATTGGTGCAGTTTTGCAATCCTGTATGCACTTATCCGGGAGTAAACCCTGTGAACTTATTTCCAACCAGTGTGCCAATAGTGGCATATAAAGAACTCAGGCACAAGTCTCTCTCTTGAGAAAGTATTTCCAAACATGGATACTATCCACAGGGTGTGCCTTTAGTTTTCTTGTGATTTTCTCAGTTGGGGATTGCCAATGTGCCAATGCGTAGCCTCCATGTTTTGTGGGCTACAACTTTCATCATCCCCGAACCATTACCTTTGCTGGTAGATCTGATGGGAGAGAAACATCTGGAAGACCACAGCTTGGTCACACCTATTGTAATTCATCAGGAACTGACTGTGTCAGAGATGGGGTAGATCAGTTTTTGGATGGAGGCAATAAAGTTGTTGTTATCCTCTGATTCAGTCACATCCTTTTGTTGCTCTTTTGGTCCCATAGATCCTTGTTGGGTAAGGTGCTACCTCGTATTGGATCAGCCCCTGTTGATGGAGGATGATGCAAGCTTTCCAACTCTTCACTAGTTAGATTTGTTTCCTTTAGGAAGGAACACAGGAAGCTCCCTTTTACCTGGTCAAACCATTTGCCCATCTAGCTCAGTATTGTCTGACTGGCAGTAGCAGGTGATCTTTGCTGCCATCTACTACCCAATTCCTTATCACTGGCGATACCAGTGAACACATGTTGTGCTGTGAGCTGCAATCTTTTTCTATAACGTAAACATTGGGAAAATGGTAGAGCCGGGTTTCTCAAACCTGCCTGGTTATCTAAAGCTAAGGCTGTAATCCTAAACACACTAGTAGTAAGCACCAGTGAAACAAAGTGAGCTTGTAGTAAGCAAGCCTCCGATCAGAATGCAAAAAGGATTATTTTCACGCATTACATGTGCACTGCTGGGTTTTTCTAATCATTGTGAAGGCAGCTGAAGGGGTGAACTGCCTTAACTGAAGAGCACTGGGTTCAGCACTAAGCTGAGGGGATGCAAAATAATAATAATAATAATAATAATAATAATAATAATAATGCCTTTTTTATACAGGTGCCTACAGAGAATATCCATAAAAAGCAACTGTGCCAAAAGTAATTATTGTGGAAATGAGAAATATTGAGTGGGGGGAACCAGATTTTGTCCTCACTCAGAGTGCCATATTACCAAAATCTGGCCCTCTTGGGTTTATGGTGACGGGGTGAGCTCCCGTTGCTCGGTCCCTGCTCCTGCCAACCTAGCAGTTCAAAAGCACGTTAAAATGCAAGTAGATAAATAGGTACCGCTCCGGCGGGAAGGTAAACGGCGTTTACGTGCGCTGCTCTGGTTCTCCAGAAGCGGCTTAGTCATGCTGGCCACATGACCCGGAAGCTGTACGCTGGTTCCCTCGGCCAGTAAAGCGAGATGAGCGCTGCAACCCCAGAGTCGATCACGACTGGACCTAATGGTCAGGGGTCCCTTTACCTTTACCTTTTACTCCTGCATTCAGACTCAGGAAGGAAGGAAGGAAGGAAGTTTCCCATTACATGCAGTCCAAGAACTGCAATTATAAAAACTTCTGAACATCCGGGATTTGGAAGCCATTAACAATAGTTCCTGGTTAAAGAACCAGAAGCTCATCTAGTAAACAGGGCTGTAACTCAGTGATAGAGCATCTGCATTTGGTCCCAGGCATCTCTAAGTCGGACTAGGGAAGACTCCTTGTCTGGAACCCTGGAGAGCTGCTGTACTTCAGTGTAGACTATACCGAGCTAGATGAACCAACAGTCTGATTTTGTACAAGCATCTTCCTGCTTCAGCATCCTGATCTCACAGTGACCAACCGCATGGCTTTGGGAAGCCTGCAAGTTTGCACCTACTGGGAACTATAGTTAACTGTGACTTCCTGAGTTGTTTTTCTGCTTATGCAAAGGGAAGAACAAAGCCGTTTGCACAAAGCTTCCATGTACCCTGGCTTACTAAGCCAGAATTTGATCATGCACATTTGGCCAACAATATCCATTAGCCATCTACAGTTATGTTAAATAAATGTCACTGTTTGTAACTGACAGCTGGCCCTTCCATAGCTGTCAACTTTTCCCTTTTCTTGCGAGGAATCCTATTCGGAATAAGGGAAATTCCCTTTAAAAAAGGGAAACATTGACAGCTATGGGCCCTTCATCTCCTTTTCAGGTATATTAGGTAAAGGTAAAGGTACCCCTGCCCATACGGGCCAGTCTTGCCAGACTCTAGGGTTGTGCGCTCATCTCACTCTATAGGCCGGGAGCCAGCGCTGTCCGCAGACACTTCCGGGTCACGTGGCCAGCGTGACAAGCTGCATCTGGCGAGCCAGCGCAGCACACGGAACGCCATTTACCTTCCTGCTGGTAAGCGGTCCCTATTTATCTACTTGCACCCGGAGGTGCTTTCGAACTGCTAGGTTGGCAGGCGCTGGGACTGAACGACGGGAGCGTACCCCGCCGCGGGGATTCGAACCGCCGACCATGCAATTGGCAAGTCCTAGGCGCTGAGGTTTTACCCACAGCGCCACCCGCATCCCTTTCAGGTATATTGGTGCAATCCAATAACATGACTTGCTTGAGTCTTCTCTTGTCTCTGTTCCTTATCTTGTTTCCACCTTCCTTTAATTTTTCTCTCTGGCAACTTCTTCCAGTGTCGTCACTTACGACACGGTAAAGTGAGCTATTGGCAGCATCTAGTTCCAGAAACAGAGTTTCCTTTTAAACAGTCAATTTTCTGTTGATTAAAATTAGCTTTGCGTTCCAGTTTTTCTGCATATGTGATCCTTCATGATTAGTTCCACATTTGCTTTGGGGCTGTGTAAACATAAACATACAGCTAGACAATGTAGTGATTTTGTTAATTTTTCTCCAAGAAATGTTTAAACCCCCTGATTAATTTTAGGCATGGTAGATAAAACAAAATACGAGTTCACGATGCTCTTTTTAAAGCATGTCTTGTGATTTTGCACAGCTTTGATGAGACTGCCTCAAAATATTTCATATCCATTATTTTCCATTGATGAACTGGGGCTAGTCTGGGCACTTGGTTAATCTTTACAAGGCAGATTTGATATTAAAACCAGCTGGGAGCACTGCCTATATATGGATCCTAAGATTGCAATTTGTCATTTGCTATGTACCTGGCTTTAAACCTGATTAAATAACTTTGTGTGAGAGCATCTCTTTTTGAGATGCCCCACTGAACTATTGCAGAAAAGTTTAAGTCATTGTAGGGGGTTACGTTTTTAAAGTCTAGAGCCTACCAACTGGTGGCATGAATGTAGCAGAACCTTTGCCATCTCATAGAAATAATACATCTGCTTGCTCAGGAAAGGGTCAGTGTAGACAATACCATGCTTGATAGATGATCTGTCTACCTTGGTATAAGACTGTTTCTTATGTTTCTACGACTTGGATTCTCAGATAAATTAATTTTTCATTCATGGAAGGAAAGTTTTCTGTTTCCTCCTCCCCTGTTGCCTATCCCACATAGCTCAGGAGGGCCCCTTAATTATACAGAGATGCTTTTCAGGGGGTTGTAGCGGAGAGGACAGGAAAGTTTCCTTCTGAAAACTTCTTTAAGGGCTCATCCAGACTTTCTTTTGCACCATACTTTTCCTTTTTGCGCCACGTTTTCCTGGGGAAACCAGCATTTTACTGCTGAATCAAAGCAAATGGCAGTCTTCAGAAAACTCAGTTGTCAGTTGCGGGTTTCCCAAGGGAAAACACTGTGGGGGAAAAACAACAAACCACCCCAAATGCTCAGTCACAGAGCTTTAAAGCTCAGACCTGTGCCTAGAAATGTGGTGCCAAAGGCAATCTGGATGAGCCCCAAGTTTCCTTAGGCTCCAACCTATTGATCCTGATTGAAAATGTATCCTGAACACATTATAGCAATGGGAACTTTGAAATCTATGGAACTATTTCCACAGTGGCCACAATCTAAATGCAAGTTGATGTTCAAGTCCAGTGAGTGCAGTACATGTAACCATGGATTACTTGGTGTTCGATCATGGTCATCTTGTTTAGGTCAGACGTACAGCCAAAGTAGACAATATCTACTGATAGATCTGTTGCTCTTTTAGATGTAATTAGAAGTGCACATCACTATCGCCTTCCATGTCTCTGGTTTGATCTTTCTCCCCGATTTTCAGTATGCCCTCCCCCCCCCTTGTTTAGTCTTAAATTAGAAAAAGGGAAAACTATAGGAATTCAATGAAGCAAATATTAAGACCTTTGTCTGGGGCTCTTTGGAGCACATTTAAAGTTCATCTCAGAAGCATTGGATTATATGGGAGATTGGCTAGAGGCTATTGGTAAGGCGTTTTCTTAAGGTTGCAACCCAGAACACATTTGCTAGAATTACACAGTGCAATCATATGCATGTCTATTCAGAGGTGAGTCCCATTGAGTTCATACTCCCGGGTTAGATAGTATAGGACTAGCGATGTCTGAACAATCTGTTCCAACATTAATTCACACCTTCATCTGACATTTTGCATTCTGTTACAATTGATTTAATTTGCACAAGTCTTTATTCCACTTCATAATCCACAAATGTGGAAATATGTACTTTTTCATATATCATAGCACACAATAGATATGCATATTTCAGCCACATCAGCATATATTTATATATCAGTAATTTTCCTGTGTGTTCTCTTTCAAAGTTAGTGAATTTCCAGTCTTTTGTAGGAAAAAACAATTGAGAGCCTTATGGTAACTTAAAGACAAAGTTAATGAACAGACTAACGGTTCATTATAAAACAGTCTATGGTTGTAATTTCAGCCATATCTGCTCTGAAGTAAGTTCTTTTCAGTTCAATGGAACTTACTTCCAGGTAAGTATGGTTAGGATTGCAGCCTATCCCACTCACTTAACCAGACGCATCCTGAGATCCACAGGTATAAAGTGGTATACAATTTTAATAAATAATAATAATATTTTAAATTGCAAAATTTCATTACAAAAATTTGAGATTTTTTTTTTATCTCATACTTAAAATGGTCATGTACATGTGTCTGGTGAAACATCACACTGGGAGTAATTTATGTTTTAGGTATTTGTAGTAATCCTGATTTGTTGATTGACAGTTTTAAATCTTTTTTCATGCCCGTGTATTCCTGCCACGTGAAAAAGACCCACAGTAGATGGCATGTTCTGTTGGTTTCTAAATTCAATTGGGATGTGACTGGAAGGATGGCAAGGACACTTGTAAAGCCAAAAATTCAAAGATTATGGGGATGGTTTAATGGTCAAAAATTCCTAATAATAATAATAATAATAATAATAATTTATTATTTATACTCCGCCCATCTGGCTGGGTTTCCCCATCCACTCTGGGCGGCTTCCAACTGAATATTAAAAACAATACAGCATTAGACATTAAAAACTTCCCTAAAGAGGGCTGCCTTCAGTTGTCTTTTAAAAGTAAAATAGTTGTTTATTACCTTGACATCTGCTGGGAGGGCGTTCCACAGGGCAGGCGCCACTACCGAGAAGGCCCTCTGTCTGGTTCCCTGTAACCTCACTTCTCGCAATGAGGGAACCGCCAGAAGGCCCTCGGCGCTGGACCTCAGTGTCCGGGCTGAACAATGGGGGTGGAGACGCTCCTTCAGGTGTACAGGTCTGAGGCCGTTTAGGGCTTTAAAGGTCAGCACCAACACTTTGAATTGTGCTCAGAAAATGGACTGGCTGTTGAGTATTCATTTCAACACTGAGCTATCGTGTGATATAAAAGCCCCTTCTGGAAGCCAAACAGAATAAAACACAGGTGTAGTTTCCATTTTATTTGCTTCCAGAAAAAAATCAGTGTGCAAACCTGGACACCCAGAAAATCATGTTTTGTGCAGGGGTGTCCACTGGTCAAGATCCTGCAGGGTGCAGGTAATGTTCCACAAGCACCACTCCATCTCCAGGATTGCCTCTACCCCTTCACAGCTGTTCTGCAGGGGCCAGGTGATCCTGCAGAGACGGGGCGAGGCTCAGCAAGTGGCTTTCGTCAAAGAATGCTGCTTGCGGAGCATCAGACACACCTCTGGATTGGCTGGTCAGTTTTAAGGAAAGCTGCAGAACGGACCTCTGCTCAACAGCTGTTGGACGGAGGCAGAGTTTCTACTGCAGTACCTGCTGGCGTGGATGGAATTTTGCACGCCGTGGCAGCACATAGGTACTGCAGTGTGAAAGGAGCGTTAGAAATCGGAGCAGAAAGGCTCCTGTTATAATTGGTAAAGGTGACATGATAAATGCCATGTCTGAATGCAGCCTCAGCTAGTTCCTAAAGTTGCTCATATACCCCTCTCTAGCCTCCATCCATGGAAGCCAGAGGCAAAATCCAGGGACACAGTCCAGCCAGGTAGAAACTTTGAAAGAGGATGAAAAGTAGGACCAGTGTCTTGGATGTGTGTGTGTAAGGCTGGAGAGGGAGTCTGGTCTTAGGAAGGTCCAGGGGGTGGGGAACTGATAGAGAGGATTGAGGGGCACATTTCTCCACTCTGAAATACAGATTTGTATTTTTGTACTAAGATTTTTGGGACGCGGGTGGCGCTGTGGGTTAAACCACAGAGCCTAGGACTTGCCGATCAGAAGGTTGGCAGTTCGAATCTCCGCGACAGGGTGAGCTCCCGTTGCTCGGTTCTTGCTCCTGCCAACCTAGCAGTTCGAAAGCACGTCAAAGTGCAAGTAGATAAATAGGTACCACTCCAGCGTTTCCGTGCGCTGCTCAGGTTTGCCAGAAGTGGCTTAGTCATGCTGGCCACATGACCTGGAAGCTGTACTCCGGCTCCCTCGGCCAATAAAGCGAGATGAGCGCCGCAACCCCAGAGTCAGCCACGACTGGACCTAATGGTCAGGGGTCCCTTTACCTTTACTAAGATTTTATTGGGATGACCTATTACGATGTGGTTGTTGTTGTTGCTTTTAAAAAAAATGTGCGCTCTGTGTGTGTGTGTGTGTGTGTGTGTGTGTGTTTTAATGTTCTGGGAACAGCTTCGGTTTTAATAAATAAAACTGAAGTGGCATAGGCTCGGTTCCTTTCAAAACTGTGGGGAAATATCCAGGTTTTCTACCTGAGTTTGCCAGATATGTATTGAAAAGGAGGAGCATTAGAAATGCCCTCTGGATATTTAAGTAGGACTGGTTCAGTAAGTGACCTGCTACTACACTGATTTGATGTTTTCTGGGTTGGTTGCTAGAATAGTTTCCTGTGCACGCCCAGGTGGAATATAGGCACAGAGGCCTAACACAGACACTTGCTGGTGAAGCTTCTACTATCAGTGGCGAAGGGAGTATCTGAAAAAAACGTAAAAACAAAACAGTCTTGTCTAGTCTTTGATTGAAAGGTTGCTTTAAATTCTGAGCAGCTTATGGAACCTTTGGGATAGAAAATGAAATTCATATCGTGTTTCTTTTTCCAATGGCTAGAAGGTGCAGCGGGCGGGAATACTGTGCTCTAACTTGACTTTAAACTAGCTCTAGATATCATGTGCGTTGCGCTCCCCACCCGCATTCCAATCCAAAGAGCAAAACAGTTAGCGGCAGCGTAGCAGAGATAGCCTCTAAGTTGTTGTTAAACTACAACTCCCACCAACCCTGACCATTGCCTATGCTGGCAAGGGCTGATGGGAGCTGGAGTCCAGTAAGATCTGAGAAGCCTCACATTGGGTAGTCCTGCACTTTAGTCTATTAATGAACTTCTGCTTTGATATGGCACAGGACAGGAAGCATCTCAGAAAGTGACAAATAGAGCCTATTTAAAAAGGACTCTATCCTTGGATTGAATGGGTAAGCTGCCTCTACCAGAAGATGCTGCTACTGGTGGTATGCCTAGAGCAGGCATAGGCAAACTCAGCCCTCCAGATGTTTTGGGGCTACAACTCCCATCATCCCTAGCTAACAGTACCAGTGGTCAGGGGTGATGGGAGTTGTAGTCCCAAAACATCTGGAGGGCCGAGTTTGCCTATGCCTGGCCTAGAGCAGCAGTGAACTGTTAGCAAACAGACCTGCATGCCATTTGGCATGCCCTGTGCCACCCACTGTACCTTAGCTCTTAGATGAGGTGGAGGTCATTGTCTTTTGGCTGCGTTGAAGTAAGAGTCAACTGCAAGCTGTATGTGGGACAACAAGAACAATAACTATCTGACTTTTAGAAGGCATCTGAAGGCAGCCCTGTATCAGGAAGTTTTTAATGTTTGATGTTTTACTATGCTGTAAGCCACCCAGTATGGCTGGGGAAACCCAACCAGATGGACGAGGTATAAATAATAATAATAATAATAATAATTTATTAATTAAATGTGGAATTTTGCCAAAGGTGAAGGGCACCATCTTGTTCTCCTAATCAAGCAGTGAAATGCGTTGGGTAGGGAGTCTTAAATTTAGTTGTTCACATCATTTTGCAATTAAAAATAAATAAAAGTCCTCATGAAAATTCACCAGAGAATTTCTCCTAAAAGGCACTGTTGTTGTTTTTTTTTGCAAAGCAATTTCCCCCAATAGAATGCTCTTTTCACTCTGTGCATATATGTGCCAATTTTACCACCCTAAACACATTTTTTGACATGTTCTTTGGCTAGGGAACTGTGTTGCAGAATTTGGACAACTGTGGGTTTTGAAAGATGGCTGCTTTTGGTTGTTGTTTGGGAAAGTGTGAATTAGGTCAGATTGCCTTTAGACGCCACTTTGAGTTCCTTAGAGGGAAAAAGTGGGATATAAATGCAATCAATCAATCAATCAATCAGTCGTGTTGATTGTGTTGATAGCTATGTCTCTCTTTCCCCCACACCTGACATCACATATGGCCTCATGTTTGGGGAGAACAACCTTACAGGGTGACTCTGAACCCTTTGTGGGCTGAATTCAGCTGGCAGTCTAGAGGTTTCCTACCTCTGGCTTATGGGATCCAATTTTTTTCTCCTCCTTGCCATCCCACCAGAGTACGGGCTTATATGGAAAAATTCCAGCATGAGTTAGGTTGTAGTACATACAAGGTCACAGCTGGTCACTTGTGGCTTTGGGTGCTTGTGGTGGCTGTTCCTCCAGTCTGCATAAAATGACAGTAATAATAATTTATTACTTATACCCCGCCCATCTGGCTGGGCCTCCCCAGCCACTCTGGGCAGCTTCCAACAGGATATTAAAGGTAAAGGTACCCCTGACAGTTAAGTGCAGTCGCGAACGACTCAGGGGTTGCGGCTCTCATCTCGCTCTGTAGGCCGAGGGAGCCGGCGTTGGTCCGCAGACAGCTTCCAGGTCATGTGGCCAGCATGACTAAGCCGCTTCTGGCGAACCAGAGCGGCACATGGAAACGCCGTTTACCTTCCCACCGGAGTGGTACCTATTTATCTACTTGCACTTGACGTGCTTTCGAACTGATAGGTGGGCAGGAGCTGGGGCCGAGCAATGGGAGCTCACCCCATTGCGGGGATTCAAACCGCCAACCTTCTGATTGGCAGGCCCTAGGCTCAGTGGTTTAGACCACAGTGCCACCTGCGTCCCAATAGGATATTAAAAACACAATAAAACATCACACATTAAAAACTTCCCTAAACAGGGCTGCCTTCAGATATCTTCTAAACCTTAGATAGTTGTTTATTTCCTTGACATCTGATGGGATGGCGTTCCACAGGGCAGATGCCACCACCGAGAAGGTCCTCTGCCTTATTCTCTGTAGCTTCACAGTGAGGGAACTGCCAGAAGGCCCTCAGCGCTGGACCTCAATGTCTGGGCTGAACAATGGCAGTGGAGACGCTCCTTCAGGTATATACTGGGCCAAGGCCGTTTAGGGCTTTAACAGCTGAAGGCAGCCAAAACTTTAAAAAGCAATTTCTAAGTTTCTGCGCATGGGCGATGGATAAGATTATGTGGCTGATGTGGGAATCAGATTATTAATTTTAAATATGCATAGCATAGCTGATGTGACCGTCATGAATGCAGTTTGGGGGATGATTAATAGTGGGGCCTGTAACCAAGACTACCGAACTTGACCTTGTGACTCCTTCATCAAGCAGGCTTTCAAATGAGCAGTGAAACCTATATTTATCTCATATCTTTTAAGAACATAGCACTTTTTTCAATGTTGTTCTCAAGGCGTTCTCTTCAAGGAAGGAAATGCAACAGCCAGCCTCTCATGATGAGAGACCCAAACAAAATTCCCCCAGAAATCCAGTTTCCCCTTCCCCATAATTTAGAAAGGAACCGTGTTCTGTGGAGTTATAATAGGTTCTTTCTTCCCACCCACAACCACCCAATGGCGGTTCAGGGCCTGCAACAGGGGCATGGCTTAAGACACTTTGGACCAGGGTATCTGAAGCCTTATCTACTCTGTGAACCTGCTATGGTCTTCTGAGGTCCTTCTCTGGGTACCCTGCCTTCTGAGGCGAGGTGGACGGTGACTGGAAAGAAAGCCTCCACAACTACGTAACGCTGTGTCTACTGTTAAACAGACTGAAATGGCCCCCTTAGGCAGTTGATTTTGGGTGTTGTGAAAGGGAACATTTTCATAAGAACATAGGAAGAGCTCACTTTCCTCTCCTGCCGTTTCCAGCAACTGGCGTTCAGAGGCATGCTCTGCTTCAGTTGGTAAAAATAACTTGGCTGGACTTGGTTTCTATGGAAAAAAAGCATAGGGAAACTATGGAGAAATTCAGACTTGCTGCTCTGCGCCAGGAAGCCTTGGGTTGGCTGGCTGTGCTTGGCATCTCCCCTCGTGTCGTTTTGATGCCAGGTGAAGCGTCCACAGGCCATTAGATTGCATTGATTACAAGTGGATTTTTTTTCAAGCGCGCTAAAGGGATTGGTGGCTTTACCAGGTGAATGTCTGCCCATCACATTCAGACTAATGCAGCCCTGCTGGGAAAGTAAGTTTCCCATTGAATGCCATTGTCATTCAGCATAATAAAAGAGGAGGGAAATTCAAACATGCATCTAACTTAATGAGGCAAATTGAAGTTGCATGTATTTCAATCCCAGGCTATTAATTTACAGCTCTGGAGAAAGCAGAGCGTGCCGCCTCTTTCAACAATGTTTCAGTGGCAGAAAAAGCTTCATTTTCTTTCAGCGTTCTGGAGTCTATCCTAGAGAAAAACATGGGACACGCTATAATATTTTTTTGGAATATGTTGTTAGTTCTCTTTAGTCACCTTCTTAAAGCTGTAGCAGTCTCGATGAAACAGAGTCAAGGTTTGGGAGATAGATAGATAGATAGATAGATAGATAGATAGATAGATAGATAGATACAGTGCTGAGTATCTACTTTAAATACTGGGGTGAGTGTTTATTTTCAAGATAGTTCAAGAAGAGGTAAGAGGCTGGCTGTTGCTATTTGAGTGGCAGGACACTAGGGGGCACTGGAGTACAAGCCGAAGCTCAGTACTTAGAAAGTACAGAGCAAATTATATATGAGCGGGAATTGTGTGTGTGTGTGCGCGCGCGCGAGCATGGGCGCAAATAGAGTAGGGTTGGGTTGGGTTGTTGTCCCTCTGTTCCAACTCTGAGATAATTTGAACACTGTTCTCCAGTTGCAGAAGCTGCAGTCCCCTGCTAAACTGCACCCAATGCTATTTAGAACACACACTTTTGTTTTATTAATCCAGAATATGCCCATACTGTTAAAGAGTAGGAATGCCTTCCACCAAGACACAGCACTCATAAGCGTGGTCTGTAGGAAATGGCAAGGAAAACTGTCCTCTTCCCACTTTTTAATCATCCTGATTGGGAAAATAGGGCCAGGGTCAGCCTTGCCCAACATTCATCAAGTGAAAGTGTGTGTGTGTGTGTGTGTGTGTGTGTGTGTGTGTAAAATCATGTTCTTCTAAAAGAGAGGAGCCAGAAGAGAGCCGGGCTGTTCTTCCAATGATTTCCTCCTAGGTCTCAATCTAGGTCTCTTTCTGTACTCCCAGTCCAAGAGAATTATTAATTACATTTTCCCCCTGCCTGGTCTCCAGTGAGATTAAGGCAGTGTACATGGTTCTCAAATATACATATAACACTACCTAATGCTTATTCCACACTTGTAAGGAATTGATTTTTCATTGTGGCAGAACCTACACTCTGCCCAAGCGCCTTCACTGTACAATGGTACCTCGGGTTAAGAACTTAATTCGTTCTGGAGGTCCGTTCTTAACCTGAAACTGTTCTTAACCTGAAGCACCACTTTAGCTAATGGGGCCTCCTGCTGCTATCGCACCGCTGGAGCACGATTTCTGTTCTCATCCTGAAGCAAAGTTTTTAACCCGAGGTACTATTTCTGGGTTAGCAGAGTCTGTAACCTGAAGCATCTGTAACCTGAAGCGTATGTAACCCAAGGTACCACTATATCGTTTTTCCCACCTGTTAAAATTTTTGGTTAGGCAAACCTTCCCAGAAACATAAAGCTGGCATGCATTTTAACATGTAGCAGTATTTTATAATGTCTGGATGACGCTTTATATTGTTAGACCAGCTTGCTTTTACCTTCTGACCTTTATCAATAGCTTTAATGTATATTTTATGTGAGACGTTTATAGAGATTTGTACGGTTCTCATACGTAGGCACAGGGCTGGTGGGTGTGGCTTGGCTCAGGCGGCCTCTTGAGCCAAATGGGGAGGCCTCTCAGGTCTAATTTATTGGCAGATTCTCCACTCCAGCAACAAAAAGCTGACAAGGGCTGCACAGAGCAATTCAAAGTGTTTTTAAAATAAGATGCTTGTAACAGAGAGAAGAAGACAGTGAGACTAATAAGCTGCATTGCTGTAGAGTTGCAAAAGTAGACTGCCATTGAACATCCGGAGTCAATTGCTTCGCTCTCCCTACCTGAGTCTTCGCAGAAATCTTTGAATAATGTTTGTCCCTTAGGTTTCATCCAGACACTTACTACGATATGCAATAGCACTTCACTCAATCTGACCGAGACCCGAACCGAATTGGGCATTTTCGGAGGAACTAGGCTGCTGGACAAGCCATGGATTGATCCAGGGTTGGGCTGGATCCATGGCTCCCACAAGGTGGAACATCAGGCAGGAAGGAGAGGCAGGCACCGGGCAGGAAACTTGTCAGAAGGTCAAGACAGACCCTAACCACTTGCTTTGTCTTCCTGGGAGAAGGTAGGAGCCCATGGCCTGCCTTGCCCTGCCTGCCTGATGCCTGTCCCTGAAGCAGTACCACCCATGATTTAATGACTCCATCAGCAGGTGCATCAATTCTTCATGCTGCAAAGGGAAGCCACTTGCAAAGGAGCACAGGGCAGGATCAGTGCCTCCAAGAAACAGCTATTCAGCAGAGGTGCGGATCCTGCAAAGTGCAGGGTTCTCCTTTGCAAGCAGCTTCTCAGAGAATCTTGCTTATTTGTGAGTAAGCCTCACTGAACATGGTGGGATTTACTTGCGGGAAACGTGATTGCACTATTAGCATATTAAAATATTTTATGTCAATAAGTAGCTCTAAGATATCTGGGGCTTGATTTACCTTCGGTTGCAACCATAATGAGATGTTGCTGGAATTAGCAAGGAGAAGGACGGGGGGAAGCCCTGGTGAATAAAATGTAGCTCTATTTTGATATAACAAAAATTAACTGCAAATCTCAAGCTAGCAAGATCTAAAATCAAGCCAGACAGCTGTGCCTTGTTGGGTCTGCTGTTAATTACTTTCCCAAACTGCTGTTTATCACCCGTGTGTTTGACAGTTGATGAGTGTCTAGACATGCATGTGTGCGCATGGGCTCCAGATGTTCACTTTTGGTATGGATTTGCCCTCTGTACATTATGTGCTCCAGCAAGTGTTCAGCAGATGTTTCGAGGGATTCATTAAGTTTAATGAATGCATGGGATGATTTAAGATTAAGAAAGGCATGCCAACCAAGCAGTTTTGGATTTGCATTATCCAAGAAGAGGGATAGAGAGCTCTTTGTACAGTTGTACCTTGGGTTACAGACGCTTCGGGTTACAGATGCTTCAGGTTACAGACTCTGCTAACCCAGAAATAGTACCTCGGGTTAAGAACTTTGCTTCAGGATGAGAACAGAAATCGTGCAGCGGTGGTGCAGTGGCAGCGGGAGGCCCCATTAGCTAAAGTGGTGCTTCAGGTTAAGAACAGTTTCAGGTTAAGACTGGACCTCCGGAATGAATTAAGTTCTTAACCCGAGGTACCACTGTAATATGAAACATGCCTTTTTAAGGCATCATCCCTTGGTCTCACCCGGATGACCTCTACACCACAGTGCTATGCACAGTTGCACATAAGTAATCTACCTGGGCACAGCTCTTTCTCTCTCTAAATTGCCAAGTGGTGTATAATAAGTCTGATTGTTGTGTGAAGCACAACTGAAATGCACAAACCAATCAAAACACACATACATAAAGCCATTATTAAAAACAAGAATAAAATTAACGGAACATTTAAACTGGGTGTATCTCAAGTAACCTTGAGGGTAACTTAGATTAGGCTACTGCCCTGCATTGTATGGGAGGGGGGGCTGCCTTTGTAGACTTCTCAGAAACTTTGCTTACTAATGTTACAGCTAAGTGACTTACTAGCACTGGTTACACAGAAAAAAAGGTAAAGGTAGGGATGTGGGTGGCGCTGTGGTCTAAACCACTGAGCCCCTTGGGCTTGCCGATCAGAAGGTTGGCAGTTCGGATCCCCGCTCCCGGTGAGCTCCCGTTGCTCTGTCCTAGCTCCTGCCAACCTAGCAGTCTGAAAGCACGCCAGTGCAAGTAAATAAATAGGTACTGCTATGGCAGGAAGGTAAATGGCGTTTCCATGCGCTCTGGCTTCCGTCACGGTGTTCTGTTATGCCATAAGTGGTTTAGTCATGCTATCCAGATGACCTGGAAAGCTGCCTGTGGACAAATGCCGGCTATCTCAGCCTGAAAGCGAGATGAGTGCCGCAACCCTATAGTCACCTTTAACTAGACTTAACCGTCCAGGGGTCCTTTACCTTTTTTGCCTTTATACAGAGCCCATTGCATCAGTTCTTACACAATCTTTTTCTGAAATTGCTTTGTAACGTGAATATAAAGTTGACACCATTCAGAATGTTCATTTGAATTGGGCTAAACATGCTGTAGAGTACATAACCAGCAATATGGAAACCCCGCTGAGATACTATCATATTTTCTTTTTCTGCCCCTAATTGCTGCCTGGGTTAAGCAGATCCTGGTTGAAGCAACAATTGAAAAGAATCAAATGAGAAAACAAGGTGTGTTTTTATTGGAAACATGTTACCTTGTGAAATGCAGTTTATAATTTTAAAATTAGATTCTGGAATTGCATCTGTTTCAAACGTTGTGCTCTAATGAATGGCAGGTTTAAAGGGACAAGTGGGCAAGCAAAATATAGCAGGTGTGGGGCACAGCATTTTGGAAGGCTTTGCTGTGATGGTCCTTTCCCAACGTTTCATGCCAATATGGCAAATCTAATTAGAAGGGATGTATTTCAGTTCAGCTGAATGGGAGACTCAAGCTTGTACTTGTGTTTTTCATGCTGAAATCAATGAAACTCCAGCCTTGTTCAGGCATTTGCCTTGTTCAAGAGGAGTGGCGCGCGGGCACCCTTACTAGCCCTGCCCCCACAAGCTTCTCCTGGCCACCTTTGCATGCTGAACTGGAAGAAGGGGGAATCTTTGCATGTTCACCGAAATGTGCTTAGAATCTTCTGCATGATCAGGAGTCCTGTGCATTCAGTGTCCTTTTTCACACAGAGGATTCTAAGTGTATTGAGCTGAATGTGCAAGCATTGCCCCCTTCAGACATGCAAAATTTGTTAATGAAGGAATGGGTTTCCCAAAACCCAAAACTGACTGCGCAGGCAGTTTTAAACTGCACCAAAATCCCTATTTTTCCTTAGCTAAAATGCATAAACTTGAGCCGTTGAGCAAATGCATAACAAGAACACAGCTCTCTCCTTTATCAGTTGTGACGTCAAGGATGACCCTGACTGTACCAGTAGAACAGAGAAAACACGTTTGTGCCTTATCTTATGTTCTGACCACAAAGGCGCACAGACCCAAGTCTGGGAACAACGCCAGAAGCGTGTTCTCGGAGATGATGACCTCTTCCTCCAAGATAAGAGTAGGAAGAGGAAGATCCTTTTATGGTCAGAATTACAGGAAGGAATTCCCTTTTATGGTTAAGAATACCAAAGCAAGAACATATGTGATGTCAACCTGCGTACATAGGCTGACGTGGTTGGATTCCTGGGGAAGGAGGGAGAGGGTGTCTGGAGGATATATATACTGCATGAAACTTCTCATTTCTTTGGACTTGCTGTGGGCTCACCACACAAGTGCCTTCTGCTATCCGGAGAGCAGAATAAACTCTTTCTTGGAATCAACCTTGGTGTCATTTGACTTCCTTCCTCCAGTCCTGGAGCAACGCAGACCCAATTGATGAACTCCAATAAGGCTACATTTCAACTTGTTTTAATTCTCAATTTTAAATGGATGCAACCCACTCTGGGATCTGCTGGTGAAGGGTGTTCACTATTATGCCATTCAAGTGTGCCAGTCAGTAATCACACGGTTCAAAGATGGAGTTAATTATTTGTTAGCAAAAACACTTGAGTGTTGGGCCTAATGAGCAGAGCAGACCCCCCCTCCCAGTAGGCCTTACCCCATGAAACTAGTTGCCCCTGCTTCCTCACAGCTGTCTAAATCCTCTCCTCTCCAGGGCTTCTTGCAAGCAATTGGAGACTGCTCCTGCATGCAGTCTGTTGCTGCTCCACCCTTTTCAGCCCTCTTCTGGTTCTAGGAGACCAGGGGGAAGAGAGCTTGTTATAGCAGGAGAAGGAGACACCCGTGACTCTTCACCAGCCTGACTCCTCTGCCTCTTGGCCTCGTACTCCCCTGCTTCAGCTTCTGCCTCTGACTTTGCACTTCTCTCTGCCACAGACTCTCCCAGCTCACTGAGCCCTGTTACCTTCAGCTTCTGACACCTCCTCCTCCCAGTCATCTCTGAACACTCGTTGTCGTCCCACCATTCCCCTGACTCCGAGCCCTCTTCCATTAGGGGGTTCCCCAGCTGGTTCCTCCCACCATGTTGATGCATCAAACCAGTCCGTGGCATGTTAGTAGCCTGTACGGCACACAGGGAATCACTATGAGTAGCAGAGCTAGCTCCACACATTCCTGCTTGTTCCTTCAGGCACTATAAGTGCCTTTATTCGTCTTGATTATGCCATAATGATACAGGCAGGGCTTTGTGTGTGTTTGTGACAGTACTCCGTGGTAGAAGGTACTGACGCCTCTTTTCTTTGCTGCCCATGGCAGCCATTTTCTGGAGTTGCCCATGGCACTACCATGCTGTGTTGCAAGCCCTGCTTCTTCACTGTTTCTATTGGGCTGCTTAAGGAGTAACCAATGTAAAGGTAAAAGGTAAAGGGACCCCTGACTATTAGGTCCAGTCATGACCGACTCTGGGGTTGCGGCGCTCATCTCGCTTTATTGGCTGAGGGAGCCGGCATACAGCTTCCGGATCATGTGGCCAGCATGACTAAGCCGCTTCTGGCGAACCAGAGCAGCACACGGAAACACCGTTTACCTTCCCACCAGAGCGGTACCTATTTATCTACTTGCACTTTGACGTGCTTTCAAACTGCTAGGTTGGCAGGAGCAGGGACTGAGAAACAGGAGCTCACCCCGTCGCGGGGATTCGAACCACCGACCATCTGATCGGCAAGCCCTAGGCTCTGTGGTTTAACCCACAGCGCCACCCGCGTCCCTAGTAACCAATGTAGTGCCCAACATACATTGTTAGACTACATCTCCCATCATCCTTGGCCACTGGCAAGCATGTTGTGCAGCATGTGCATGTTGCAGCAGAATTTTGAGAGGGCCTGGCCCCCCCTTGGAAATTGGGGGTGTGTGTCATCCCCCCCCCGATGGCACCCATGTATCCAGGGCTTTGTAAAAGTAAAAACAACAGGTTGCCCATCTGTGGTTTAGCTGTTTACATTAACAGTAGTTCAGATTTAATAAAAAGTAATCGTATCAAATCAAATAGCTCTGTGTAAAAGGATTTGAAAGAACGGGATAATGAATTTGTCATGGCTTCTGTCATGAGAATACAAGCAGTGAGAATCATCGTTCATTCTACGATGTTTTACTCTGAGACAATTTAAAGCAAAAGCCTCTAAAAACCAATCTGTGAACAACAAACACTGTTTGGTAAATGTACAGGGGACAGTGGAAACGCAAGGATAGCAGCTGTTACACTTTGTAGGCCAGGTAATAAGGGAGGTTTAAATGCACCTGATCTCCAGCTTTAATCTCCAACTTTAGTCCTCCAGCCATACCGAAAGATAGCTTAAGGGAGATCTGAATGCACCTGATCTCCCGGTTTATGAAGCAACACAAAGGCACTCGAGATTTCTAATGGCTGAGTCACTGGGCCATACCAAAGGCTCACTTGAGATTTGTTTTGTCTGAATCGTCAAGTCAAAATAAATGATTGTATTTTGAAAGATCATATACTGTTGGTTATACCTGGGAGGGAATGATTATTTACTTATTTTATTTGATGTGCATCTCCCAAGTCAATGCGCAAACTGCAAGCATAAAAATACATTAACATAATAAGACTTTAAAAATTACACCCACAAACCCAGCAATTACATTAACATACAATCTGGCACATACAAAAAACCATTTCCAATAAAACATGAAATTCTATACAATTTGAGAAAAGGCAAATTCAGACCACAGCCTCATTCCTTGAAAAACAAATTATTTTAATTTGACATTGCTTGCATGACATCAATGGTGAAAATTTTTGCTCCAAGTATTTCAGTCTGAATTTCTCTCATTTTTTGAACTTGGGTGACAAGTTACTTCCTTTCCTGAATGATGGAGATGGGTAAGGTTCACAGACCCTGTGGCGTGGTCCTTACAACACAGAAGGTGTTGCTGTAATAATAATTTTAAAAAGGACCCAGAGTCCTATTTCTATTTTGTGGTATCTACACTTGTAACCATGTCTTATCAGGGGAAAGGGAATTATTGTCCAGATCTGTAGGAACCTTACAAGTTTGAAAGGTTAATAATAATAATAAATTTATTACTTATATTTCGCCCATCCCCCTGGGCCTCCCCAACCACTCTGGGTGGCTTCCAAAAGGACACCAAAAACACTGCTGGGCTCAGTCCTCTATTTATATTGACGCTGACCAATTAAAAATAAATAAAGCAAACCAAGTTCTAAAAGATGTCTGGTAAAGATGATACAAATATGGAAATATAGTAGACTGAGTTTGATCTCTGGTGACCCTGAAAAGAGAACATTGGTGGTTATTCCTGAAATGAGTGGTTAATGAAGGATTCCTTGACGTCTTGCTGTTTTTGTAATTGAAAAATTCTCCAGCTGAAGTGGTTTAATAAAAACAACAACCAATATTCTCAAATGGTGGGGAATTGTGTGTTTTAGTAGTCTCCTAATTAATTTGATTTCTCTCTCTCTAGGGAATCCGAGGAGTCACACACAAGGATGTCATTCAGGATGTGTGTGCCTAGAGGGAAGCTAAATCCCCTGTTTGCCAATGATCTAGAGACTTTTAAAAACTTGCGACACAGACTTATGATTTTATAGCGTATATTTCACCCCCACCCCACAGATTGCCTCCACTCAGCAGCTGTTCAGTGGAGGCATTGATCCTGCGGGGCATTAGCAGGAAGGAGAGCTGTGTCATTGAGCCTACCTTACTTGGGGAAGATGCAGCCACCAGTCAGGCAGGTCTTAACCTTTTCGGGCAGTTTTCCCATCCTGCCTTTCTAATGCTCCAACCGCTGACAGCCATAACCTGCACTGGGCCAACTAATCCTTTTTTCATTAAAAAATAACTTTTTATTCAAAATTAAAACAAAACATACTATGCAGAAACGTATCATCCTTTCCCCCCCCCATTTTCCCTTCCTCCCTCCCTCCCCCCACAGAACCCACTCATCCCCACCCCCCAACTTCCCTCAGTTCCAGTCTTTGATTTCTCTAAAAAAGCTGTTTTCTGCATGTTACACAGTTGTACAGATCCTCAAACTATTTAGCTGATTATTATCAATAAAAAGTTTGTGAATATTTATTCAAAACCAGCCAAGGAGTACAGTTCGCTTTGTCGTGTCTTCAAATACTTTGTAAAGGGTTCCCATTCATCTTTAAAGTCACAGTTATCCTTGTCCCGTAGCTTGTATGTCAGTTTTGCCAGCTAATCCAACTCTCAGTGACCCATAACTGTGTGTACCTGACTAGTGTGGTTCCTTCCAAATACCCCCAATTTGTCTTAGGACTTGGCTGAATCTGGTGCACCGTCCTACCTTCTAGGGGCAAAAGCCCTGGGGAGGGCGTGGAGCCCCCGGAAATGGCCATGGCTCCACAGTAGAGCAGTTCCTTTGCATGCCAGAGTCAAGCAGCGGCATCTCTGGGTAGCGGTTGGAATGTCTTTGGGCTGAAACCCTGGAGAGGACCACATTGAGCTAAATAGACCAGCAGTCTGACGCTGTGTGTAGGAGAGAGGAAGAGCAATGGCGGCTTAGTTTGGATAGAGCATCTGTCACCTGGATATACCTCTCAAGGGTTAGGTCAAGGTTTCCCAAGCTTGGGTCTCCAGCTGTTTTTGGACTACAATTACCAGCATTCCTGACCATTGATCCTGCTAGGTAGGGATGATGGGAGTTGGGTTGCCAGCTGTTTTTGAACTACAAGTTTGGGAAACCTTGGGCTAGATCATGGATAGGCAAACTAAGGCCTGGGGCCCAGATCCGGCCCAATCGCCTTCTAAATACGGCCCACAGACGATCTGGGAATCAGCGTGTTTTTACATGAGTAGAATGTGTCCTTTTATTTAACATGCATCTCTGGGTTGTTTGTGGGGCCTGCCTGGTGTTTTTACATGAGTAGAATGTGTGCTTTTATTTAAAATGCGTCTCTGGGGCATAGGAATTCGTTCATATTCCACCCAAAAAATATATAGTCCGCCCCCCCCCGCAAGGTCTAAGGGACAGTGGACCAGCCCCCTGATGAAAAAGTTTGCTGATCCCTGGGCTAGATAGTGAATCTGGAATGGATGTGTTTGGACCAGACATTTGCCGCCCCTGCTCTCGACACAATGACGGCTTAACTGCCCTAATGTCACAAAGAGGAAGGCCATGCAAAAGGGCTCTGTGTAATTATCTACGTTCCAAAAAAAGGGTTAGGTTTTTGCTTTGAGACCCTTCTGTTTTTCAAAAAAAATGGTCAGTTCTCTCTCTCCCTATCTTACACACACACACACACACACACACACACACACACACTTTCTTTCTTCAATCATGTCTTCACTTTCTTCCCCTTTAGAGCAAGTCAAGTGTATCATGGTAGCTGCAAACTCCCCCCCCCCCCCACCTAGTGTAATCAACTGATCTTAACAACCTTTGGAGCCCTCTTGGCATTTTCCAGTCTGTCAGCCAAATGACTACTTAGGAGGGATGGGATTCTGCAGCTTCTGAATTGCAACTGCATCTTCAGCGTGCCTCTTTCTAAAAATACAGAAAGATCCTACCGTGGATGCTATTGTTTGCTGCCAGCCGGCATCGTTGCTGCATGCCCACACGGGCGTGTGCCATGCTAAAGGTTAGGAAGCAGCCTGCCTTGTTGTTTGAAAAATACAGTTTCCTTCGCAAGGGAATGCTGTGGAACAAACCCTTTGGCAAGCTCCATGGCTCCCTGCCTGAGACAGGGAGGCAGCTGAGCAGAGAGGATGTGTTAAACCTTAAAACGTTTCATATGGTTTGAAAGGAGGAAGCACATCCTCTCTAGCCACTGAATGTGTTTGCTATTTTCTTAAAAACTGTTGCTTTGCAACTGCAAAGAACACAGTGTCATTGTGTTTTCACTGTAGGGATGGGGCAGATATTCAGTTCTGTTGAACTCTGCTAATTTGCACGTTCTGAAACAATACACAAACCAAAGCATAGCTGTTCTCCAAAATGTGCAGTTCTCTGAATTTTGCAGTGCAGTTTTCCAGCTAAGTAATGTATATATGACATTCAGCGCTCATAAAGATGCATCTGTTAGCAAAAGCGACGTACAAAAAAATGCATTACATTGGGGGAGATTCCTTTGCAAAAAAACAACAACGTACATTCAGCTAGATTGCATACAAAAATGTGTGCCTTGCCCTAAGTGGCTGATAAATTTTCATCAGGATTTAAAAAATGCATTGCAAAGTGACATGGAAATGTAGAGCAGTGAACTTTTTTAGGAAAAATGAGAAGCTGAAATCAACAGGTTGGCACATCCCTATTTCACAGCCTCTTGCACTGCTTACTTCTCTTGATTTCTATCACTTAGCTAGTTTTGCATCCCCCTCCCTTAAAAAAACCACTAACATTTCTGCCATTTCTGCCTTGCCCCCAAGCAGTCCCTTGATACCTGACCAATGAAATGAGTCCTAGCATTTCACAGCACAGTGATCCTTTCTCACCTAAGCCTCATTGATTTATGTGGCAGAGCTAAGCATATACCTGGCTTTCTCTCCAAATGGAATCAATGGGTCTTAAAAAGAGCTAAAGCTTGCCTGTACAGTGGTCTTCATTTCCAAGGTCAGCTCCTCCATTTCCCACAGACATCGTGTGGGCTGAGAGAGGTATATCCTTGGATAATTGCACTCTGGCAAAGATGAAGCATTGTCTGAAATTGAAAATAATAGATAACAGGTAGAAGATGGTTTTCCCATTTCAGCTTGTTGCTTTTATTGAACATAGTTAAGTAGTCATCGAATGAGTTGATGTACTCATTCATATTTTGATGTGTTTCCTACCCCACTCACTGCCCACTGCAGCCACCCAAAACACTATCTGGGGACTCAGCTAGGTAAAGGTAAAGGGACCCCTGACCATTAGGTCCAGTCGTGGACAACTCTGGGGTTGCGGTGCTCATCTCGCTTTACTGGCCGAGGGAACCGGCGTACAGCTTCCGGGTCATGTGGCCAGTATGACTAAGCCGCTTCTGGTGAACCAGAGCAGCGCACAGAAACGCTGTTTACCTTCCTGCCAAAGCGGTACCTATTTATCTACTTGCACTTTGATGTGCTTTCGAACTGCTAGGTTGGCAGGAGTAGGGACCGAGCAACGGGAGCTCTCCCCATCACGGGGATTTGAACTGCCGACCTTCTGACTGGCAAGCCCTAGGCTCTGTAGTTTAACCCACAGCGTCACCTGCGTCTTGGAGACTCAGCTATACAGCTGCAAATAAAACGTTTTAAGTGTGCTTTAAGTGCAATATACAATGTGACACTAGATGGTGATGGCGAGTCTTATGGAAAATTCAATGAATTTTTAAAAATGCTTTAAAAAAAGGCATCTCAGAACTTTTAAAATATGTGCGTAGATTCCACCTGGGTATCTCAGATCCAGTCCCTGCTAGTCCTCAGATTAGATGTACAGTGATACCTCGGGTTAAGTAGTTAATTCGTTCCAGAGGTCCGTTCTTAACCTGAAACTGTTCTTAACCTGAAGCACCACTTTCGCTAATGGGGCCTCCTGCTGCTGCCGCGCCACCAGAGCACGATTTCTGTTCTCATCCTGAAGCAAAGTTCTTAACCCGAGGTACTATTTCTGGGTAAGCGGAGTCTGTAACCTGTAACCTGAAGTGTGTGTAACCTGAAGTGTATGTAACCCGAGGTACTGCTGCAGTTTACAAGAGTGGGCAGTGCACGAAGCAAATTACAAGCTTGAATTATATACCATGATATTGCTTCATTCCATTAATCAACAATGTTGAATATTAGAAATACATACCTGAGATCTGTACTTTGAAGGTGCTTGGAGATATATCTCCTAATAGTAGCCTGTGGGCATTGGGTAGGGTTTCTGCTGTGGGGTAGGCTCTGATTTTCCCCAAACCCCCATCCGTACAGGAAAGCATACTTGCCTCAAACACGCACTCTCTCTCTTAGAAAAGGAAAGTTAATAAATCACACCACTTGTCATTTCAAGTCCTTTCCACTTCCCCCCTCTTCTTTATCAGATAGATGCTCTCCAACGTAAAATTTAGATTAGAGTGATGCACGCGAAATGTTGAACAGTAGGGATAGAATGGCTTAGCCTGTACCCAGCCTGAGTCAGTTTCACATGTGATAGTTCAAAAATTTGTTCCATCTCTTTTTTTCTGCGCCAACCTGCATTTTAGGGGGAGGAGGGGAGCTACACAAAAATCTGCATTATTCATGTGCATCTCTCCCCATATACAAAATGCATACTGTATTTTGTATGCATTTTACTATGGAGTGGTTTATTGTGGGGGTTTTTTGTGTGTGTTTTTGAGCCAAAACGGTGTTGCAAAATTCAGGAAAGGGCAGAGCTGCGTTTTGATCAGTTATCCCGAGAAGTGTGAATAATGTTAATTCACTTCAGAATGTGGGCAGAACGGATCCCTCAAGCATCCCTACTGAGGAGATGGGTTCTACAGGAAATCCTGTGGGAAACATTGCTGGCATTACTGAAACTTTCATATCCACACAATGTTTGTTTGTTTTTTAAAATAGCCAGGAATGTTTTTATCTAAAAAATTTTTTGTTTACCCCCAAAAAACTGCTTTTTCATACAAGCGGTTTACAT